ATGAATTCAGCCAATGGTTATGGAATCGTTTGAGGTTGTTATTGCTTGATGATTATGGGTAAAGAGAAATAATTAAGGTAGCTTGGATTATGTTCATTGTTAGTTTTGGCTTGATATTGAAAGATTATATGCTTGGGGTGCCATGTGAGGGATTTGGCCATATGTCGCTTTAGGTTATATTCATGAATTTTTGATGACATATGAGTTGTGTTCATAGTTTTTTAAGGCTAGATAGTTTTAGCCTTATCATGTCATGTTAATTGTGCTCATGGTTGGTTTAGGATTGATAATATTTGATATTGTCATGTCATATGAAATATATCCAGGAATGGCTTAATGTCATATGATTCATATTCATATTTATGCTAGATATTGCATTTTAATTGTATTCACACCATGAAATATTTTATATCATGATTTCAAGCATTCAAAAAAGAACACATACATGATTTTCATAAGGATAAGATTTTTTGATGGACATGACATGGCTAGGCATATTCAAGAGGGATAACGAAAATGATTAATCCTCGTGAGGTTCATTGAATCGAATATGCCTAAAGTCTTTATGGAAAAAAAAAGGTTGAAACCATATTTATTTAGCAAGGTGCACCCAAAATATAGAAAAGAATTTCAAACATGTAAAAGATGGTTTTAATTTGCATTTCATACATGGTTACATTTACTACGCTTTTAGCTTACTATTTTATCTTTATGGTGTAGGTGAGCAAAGCAACGCTTGAGAATCGGTTAGGTGTGTTGGGGATGCTAGCCGTGAGCTATAAAGTTTGTCAAATCTTATACTATAAGTCTATGTTTAAAGCTTGAAAGCTAAACCATTACTAGGTTCGACCACTTTTAGGTAACACCTAGATTCGACCATTTTGGGTCGTAAATGATACACTTTTGTATTTCGAATGTGTTGATACACAAACACACATATACATGTATATATGTGTATGTGTGTGCGTGTGTGTGTATGTGTGTGCGTGTGTGCGTGTGTATTAAATTTGAAATAAATGAATGTTTATGGATGAATTGGGGATATTAATGGATTACGTTTGATTTATGTTCTCATTAGTTTTAATCCAATGATGATTATATTCATTTTAAGTTTATGTTTCAATTATGAATGGAAATAAAATAGTTATATATATATATGTATATGAGATTTGAAATAAATGAATATTTATGGATGAATTGGGGATATTAATGGATTAAGTTTGATTTATGCTATCGTTAGTTTTAATCCAAGAATGATTATATTTATTTTAATTTTATGTTTCAATTATAAATGAAAATAAAATAGTTTAACTTATGTCATAGGTCATAGGTCACAAAAAATTTATTACCATTAAACATCGAATCTTAAGAACCCTTATACTTTAAGCCAAATAAGGAATTTCATCGTGCATTATCATAGAAATCCAAGATAAAGGACACGATGCATTGCCTTATACTCTCATGTGTGAGATAATACTATAACACTCTTGACTTCTTATTGGGCCGCAAGCATTATAGGAAGAAAATGCGAGAAAAAAGTATGATGGAGAGAGGAAGGAGTAGAGGGACTCTTCTGATTACACTTTGTAAATGTTTTATCTCTCAAGTATATAAGGTCATGATCCGTGTCTTCCCTTCATAATAGAAATGTCGAAGGGTTTATGGATTGTCTACCAAGAATCGAGCTTGTTTCTTTGTTTGGGTTTGATTTGAAATTTAAGGTCGTCGTAGGTTCTAATCCCGGATAATCTCTCGTTTGAGCATAACATTGTTAATATTATTGATTAGTCGTATTAAAATGGTTATTTTTTTTTAACTAGTTTTAAGGCTAGTTTTGATAATTATTGCATGTTTGTTTGATTTTCAATTGATGGTCATATGGGTGGTTTCATTATTGGGGTAAAAAGGTTGAGGTGGCTATATTTGTTTGGATAATAGAGAAACTTATTAGGAGAGGGTCTTTTGGTAGGGGTTCAACTGCTATGGAGATATGGTTGTTATGGGACAAAACCGATAAATGTTGGATTGGTGTGGAAAGAGAGTTTTAAGTGGGTTTTGGCTTGGCTATAGGCGATGTTGGATATTGGAGGAAGCATCGGTGGTAATTTATAGTGTGATGAGGGTTTCGGGTTTAATGGAATTTGGGTGAGGAATGGCCGAGACTAAATACAAGATAGTATGACAACAATGGGAGTAGAGATCGATGGTGAGGGTGGTCGTGACAAGCTATGGGATGGTGTGAAGAAGAAGAAAAAGAGATGGCTTCTTTTTTTTTCATTTTCAATGATTTTTTTTGAAATTTTATTTTTTATTTTTTCATATGAAAAATTAATTTGACGTGTCATTGCACGTGAAATTTTTAATGTCCGACGTCGGCTTTAATTGAAAAATTAGTTAAAAAATAGTTAGACAGGCCACATTAAGAAAAATTAAAGAATATAGGAAGAAGTTAAAAAAAAAAAAAACACGAACCATGTTAAGAAAATCAGTAGCGTAAAGGGATACTTGACGTTATTAATCAAATTTATTAATGCATTTGTCATTATGTACGAATGTGTGTCCATATGGACGTTAGGGTTGTATGCATTTATATACACTGTATGTTAGTTTAAGGTTTTCCATTTTAACTTTTTTTCTTCTTCGGATTGGGTCTAGATAGCCAGATCCAATGCTTGGTACATTTAGGCTAGGCATGTGGCCATATGCCTAGACTGGTCCAAGCGTCTGGCCTAATGCACCAATAGGCTAGTCTAGGCCCGCTTCCTTTTTTTGTGTTCTTTTTTGTTTAATTTTTTTACAAAAAATAATATGAAGATGACATACATTTTCTTTCCACAATAACACGACAAATCTTGACCTTTATAGTTCTAAATCATTTGTTTTCGAATCAGAATAGAAATTGCCTATGCTAAGAAGGATGAAGAAGAAAGACTACCACTGTATGAATGAAAAGTCTATTCTATTACTTTAATTACCTAATTACAATGGAGCAAAAAAAAAAAAAAAAAAAAGGACTAAGAGATATGAAGAGAAAGTTGATCTTGTTGTGAAAATAAACCCAATTATAGTGTCAATTGTTATAAGAAAGAGATAAAAGGTGAGAGAGAATGTTTCATTTATTTATTTTTCATTGGGATTGAGGAAAGATAAATATTTACATTAATCTATACAAAGGTAAAATTGGACTTTCATATCTTGTTATTATTTGCGCATCTAGGTTGGTCTAGGCTCACTTCCTCTCTCTATTTTCCTTTTTCAATTTTTTTTTTTTTTGTTATGAAAAAAAAAAGTGATGACATACATTTTCTTTCCATAAGAACACAACCCATTTGAGCCTTCATGGTCCTAAATTAGTTATTGTCGAATAAAAAATAATTGATTATGCCAAAAAAAAAAAAATGAATAAGAAGAGCTACCATTATATGAATGAAAGTCTATTCTATTACTTTAAGTACCTAATTACAATAAAAATTGAAAAAAAAAACTAAAAGATATGAAGAAACGTATGATTTGTTAGTGCAAATGAATCCAACTATGGTTTCAATTATTAAAAAGAGATAGAGCTTGAGAGAGGAATTTTTTTGTTCCTTTTTCATTAGGATCAAGGAATGCTCTATACAAAGGTATAATTAGGTTTTTATATTTTATTATTATTTTATAATTTTATTAAATATTCATAAATTAAGAAAAATGGGTTTTCATAAACCAACATTTTATTACCATTAATATTTAACACTTAACATGTGTCGCGCTTCTTATGCCAAGCATATTAGCTAAACCGATTTATTAGGTTAAGGAACTCAAAAGTTTATATAATATAAAGCAGATAGATTTCATTAATCATATTAATAGTAGATGAATCCAATTAATCATATAAAGACAAGACATAATTAACCCATCAAAACTCTTTGAAAGTAGAGATAAAATTTTCAATTTCATGGTTTCATCTACTAGTAAATTATAAATTAATCATTTTCATTTCAAAAACTAATTATTTAATCCTCATATTTTTAAATTTACTAATAACTTAGTCCTTTTTTCTTTTTTTAATTTATTTTAATTTTTCATTTTAAAAAAGATAAAAATATGAAACAATATGTAAAGATTCACAAGAAAAGAAAATATTTTGTGAAATAAAAATAATATTAAATTAAGCATGATTAACACAAATTGAAAAATTAAATAATAATTTTTAAAACAAAGAGGATTAATTAATTTGTTTCTTAAAACTTAAGGGGTTAATTTATAATTTACTCTTTCATCTGCTAGTGTGCAATCATAAAAAAGTTAAAAAAAAAAAAAAAAAAAAAAAAAAACCGGGTGGGTAAATTGTGATCGAATCTCAATGGGTGAGTTAGTGCATATTTGTATGATGGCCCATGATGCCGTGCGGGCATCCAAAGTTGACCATTTAATCTCAAAATCTCCATCCAAAGTACAAGCTGGAGAAGGAAAAAATGAACAGTTAAAGAAAACCAGGAGTAAAATACCGATTGTATCTCATCGGCAAAACCACACTCATCATAAAAAAATCCTCAATCATAATAAAAACAGCAACACAAACCAAAGAAACACTAAATTCACTTTCACCTTGTCTTCTCATTACAACCTCAATCCATCAAGGTATGTTTTGTATGATAATTAGAACAGATCAAGAAAAGAAACATTGTTTTCTCTTTTTCCTTTCCCTTTTCCATTTTTTGCTCTTGTTTATTTGATATTTCTAAAAGATAAACAAAACCCAGAATTTAAATGATATAAAGATTTGATCTTTTGAAGCTTTAATTTCAAAAGGTTTGAATCTTTTCTATGTGGGTATTACCTAATTCTGCTGTTTTTTTTTTTTTTTTTTTTTGCTTTATGTATTTCCAGAGAAACCAACTGAGGATAACAGCTATGCCTGTATTGAATTGCATGGTTCTTTTGTTCGAGTAATCTTCAAAATCGGGTATCTGTCTGATTGTTGAAAAGTCTGTGCAATCTGGGATTTGATAGATACAATGGATACAATGGCTTCAAATGTTTTGCAATTAGTGAATAGCACTTTGGAGAGGGTGACGTCGGCTTTGGATTTTCCATCTGCCAGAGCTGTTGTTTTTGGTTTTCAAATTGGAGGTAGAGTTTGATCTATTTTAAAACTGGTCAATGGTGATAGTTAGATTCTGTATCTTTGTAGCTGGTAATTTTTTAATTAACTTATATTTATATTGGCTTTTTTGTTGAAGGGCATCTCTTTGTGGAGGTTATTCTTTTAGTCGTCATTCTTTTCCTACTTTCCCAGAAAAGTTATAAACCTCCTAAGCGTCCGTTAACGAAGAAGGTTAGTGTGGCTTGAGGTTTCTTTTTCTCTCTTTTGTCTCTTTTTTTCACATAAGCTGAAAGAAATTGCCTTCTTGCATTATGTGTCTTGTGTTGTTTAGTAGTTTTGCAAGTCAGGATAACAAATCATGCATATAATAAAAGATAGATAAATACACGTGGAGTGTTTCTAGGCTTGTCTTCTGACCTAGGGCATTGAGGATTGAGAGTTAGCTATATTTTAGTTGCTTTTGCCCTTCTTGTGGAGCCACATGCAAAGGGATGAGGATGAAAAATCTAGTTTCATATTAAATGTGTACTTTTTACTGCTTTAGCTTGTTGGATATGTGAATTGTAGTTTTTTGAGAATACATTCTGAAGCCGTGAAGCTGTGCCAGCATAATATTACTGAAAAGTGTGTGTTGTCTGTAGGAAATAGATGAGCTATGTGATGAATGGGTTCCAGAATCTCTTATTCCTCCTATTACAGAGGAAATGCGATATGAGCCACCAGTATTGGAAAGGTGAACATACTTCTTTTGTTTCCACACATTTGTTTGACTCTCGTCAAAAGTATCCTTGTGCTTGCATGTGTAAATCCTACTAACCCAACCCTCCCCCCCCCCCATTATTGTATGAAAAGCCATTAACCTCAGTTATTAAATTAATGGTCTCTCCCATCCCCCAAAGAAGTTGCTATTTTGATACTCCAACTGTGACTTTGCTCTTAAGACATATCTGAATGGTTCTTCTGAAGTAATCACAATTCATAAGCTATTTTTTATTGCAGTGCTGCAGGGGCACATACTATAATCAATGGCAAAGACGTTGTAAACTTTGCTTCAGCTAATTATCTTGGTCTAGCAGGCCATGAGAAACAACTTGTGAGAAAATCTGTTCTTCTTCTTCTTCTTCTTCTTCTTCTTTTTTTACCATTTATGATCATGATTGTTCTTAAATTAGAAAATGTATAACCATTTTTTTTTATAATAATAAAAAAAAAATTCTCAGGAGTCAAGTACCTCAGCCTTGGAAAAATATGGTGTTGGTTCCTGTGGTCCTCGTGGGTTCTATGGAACAATTGGTGAGACTCAATTTCAAATGTATTTTAAATATAGCAGGTTGATGATTTATTTCCATTTTTTTAATCTTAAATGCTTACCTTCTGACAAGTTTTCTTTTTCTTAGATGTCCACCTTGATTGTGAGGCCAGAATAGCGAAGTTTTTGGGAACTCCGGATTCAATTCTCTATTCATATGGACTTTCCACTATGTTCAGCACAATTCCATGTTTTTGCAAAAAAGGAGACATAATTGTTGTGTGAGTATGGTAGTCCTGACTGTTAATGTTTGTTTTACACATGTGGCTATATCATAGAAATCAGCTAACAGTGTATTTTGGAGTACATGACAAATCTTTCATATTTTTTAAAGGGAATTCACTCTGTTTAGTCCCTTCCCTTGAAATGTTAGTGATGTTAGTTTGATAATCATTTTAAATGATAATAGCACAGCATTGACAATTGCTTGGAGTTCCATATGCATCTAAGATTTTATCAACCTATGCTAAATTATGTTGACCAATGATGCTTGTCTGATAATAGATGACATAACAAGATTTCTCAGTCTTCTCATCCTTGATTGCGTATTGTTCACTGATTTGTAATATGCACGTATCTGCTCACTCTAGTTGTTCGTGGCATAGTTATCCAGATATTTTACCATTTTGGGTTCATTTGTGAAACCTTTCTTTTAAGATTGTTCAAGGGAAGTATAATATATGGCTATATAACTGGTACGCATTGTTATTATTATTTTCCGTTAGGGATGAGGGAGTCCATTGGGGAATACAGAATGGCCTTTATCTTTCCAGAAGCACTGTTGTGTATTTCAAGCACAATGACATGGATTCTCTACGAAATACTTTGGAGAAAATTACTGCTGGGAATAAGCGGGCCAAGGAACTGCGACGTTACATCATAGTTGAAGCTGTATACCAGGTATGAGGTTTCTTGTTTGCATGCATGTCAAATACATATATATTTGATAAGCAAAAATAGCAGAAAGCAAATCTGAAATGCTTGCATCAAAAGGTTATTGGCTGTAATCAGTACAAGAAAACCAAATCATTATATTGGATTTCTTGTTTTTACCCAACCCAGCCTTAGCCATTGTGTTTTTTAAGCATAGGCATAATATTTACCTTTTCTTCTCCTTCTCCCTTTTTTTTTTTTTTTTTTTTTTTTTCTGATCACACAAATATATGTGGCATCTTTCCATCGTCATAATATGCATGCACTTAAACATGGGATAGCATGAAATAGATATGTTCCTATTGTAAGTCTTTGGGATTTAATATGGAGTACTCTAGTGTCAACATAAGCTGTCTAGCACCCCCTCCCCCTCATGAAGGCATTCATAGTCACAATTAAGAAAGGTGGGAACCTCGACAGTAGAATGGCCGAATTGAATGTTGTAGTAAATCATTAGTAGGTAAATGACTGTAGAATGGCTGGAATTGAATGTCTGATGCTGACAACAAAGAAGAAAACTTGTATCTTTTGTAGACAAGGGGTATTTCTGGAAAATCTGGAAATTTGTCCAAGTCTAAGTTTTATTTTATCTTTAGTATTTTAGTAGTCCTAGGAGTAATTAGCTTTATTAGGTTTTTCCTATTCTACATAGACTTAGTATTTTCTTATTTAGGAATCTAAGTCCTTATTGGATTTGGTCTACTAGAACTCTATAAATAAGCATGTAGTCTTTCAATATTTTCAGTGACAGTTTATGAATAAATTCTAGCAATTTGCTTTTGATTGTGTGACTCCTAAGAAGCCTAGGTGTGAAGCTTAGGTTTTCTATCCTGTAGGTATGACTCCTAGAAATCCTATTATTATGACTCTAATAGTTCTACAATTCCCAGAAGAAATCCACTCTCATACAACCAAATACAGCCCTAAACAGCCAAGTCAGATTCAGAATAGCCCAGAAAAGCTGTCCTGCATCAATGTCATTGTAAATCATCACTGGGTACGTCATAGCAAACATTTATTATGTTTCTCATAGCAGTATGTGCCTACAATATGTAGAGTTGAACCACCCTGATGGATCCAACTAGTTGGGGTTGGCTGCATTAATTAGATTTAAGATTATGTCTTAATTTCGCATATCTGCCTTGCCGTATTTTAGTAGCAGTGGATTTACCTTACGATTCTCTCTTCTGTATTCTTGCTCTTTTGAATAAGTGAAGGAAGAATTGTCTGGTTTCTGAGAGAAACTGAGGATCATTGGTATCTCACACAAAGATCGTAATGATGCAGCTGCCTTATAGATGTAACTAAGATATTGAATCCTGAATTATTAGAATATCTTGATGCTGGGAAGAATGGATATATCTCACAATTTTCTTTTGTCTTTAAATTAAAGAACAGTAGAAGAGTTGCAGTGAGAAACCAAGGATCTTACTATCTTATATGCATACAATAAAGCTCCTACTTTGTAGACAACTCTTGATCTTAAACCTGAATTGTGAAGCCTGGGAGTTGCTTTCATTTTGTTCTTCAGTTTCATTGAGCAAGGAAGATGGTGGCATGGTTTTGCTTCTCTTTTTCCTCTTTTTTTTTTTTTTCCGGCTTACCCCTGTTGAACGCACCCTCTCCCCCTGCACAGCCATCCAGATTACTTACTGTCATTACATATGAACTATTCCTTCCATAGTGGCAACTAACACGTTTATATGTAATTTTTCTTGCTGGCTGGGTTTTCTGAAGTTAAAATATGCAGCATAGTAATAATGTAATCTCAGATCCTTGCCAACCACCCCACCCCCTCTCTCTGTTTGCTTTTGCAATTGATCTGATCATATGGATAACAACATAAGTCATTGAAAGGAACTTGGAGACCCACCTAACCATGAAGGCATTTGCTTTAAGTTTTATTTCTTTTGGGAGTGTGTATTTTGAAGCTGACAATGGTAGCATAGACCATAGACGCTCCTGGTCTCTGTGCACCTACTTTGTAGACATAACTCTTGATCTTAAACCCGAATTGTGAAACCTGGGAGTTTCTTTATTCATTTTGTTCTTCAGTTTCATAGACCATAGACGCTCCTGGTCTTATGGGGGGATTTAGTGTTTTCCTTGTTCTTCTGACTTTATTGGTTAAGTGGACTTGATTGCTGATGCATGTAGAGTCTGAAAAATGATTATCCTTTGTGTGTGATAATTCAGTGGCTGCATTTATTTCTTAGTGGTACTGGTAGTCATCTATTTGCTCGGCCACATAGTTATTTTTCCCTACACCTGTAATGAATATCAAACTTGCTTGACTGGGATATTTATTCTTTTGTTCTGAAATCTGTAGAATTCTGGCCAAATAGCCCCTTTAAACGAGATCATCAGATTGAAGGAGAAATATCTCTTCCGTGTTTTGTTGGACGAGAGTAACTCATTTGGTGTTCTTGGGAGGTCTGGAAGAGGTCTTACTGAATACCATGGGGTGCCGGTATGTTTTAAAGATTCATTTATTTCTTGTTTTTGGCACAAACTCTCAGATTTATGATTTTGTGGTCTTGCAGATTGAGAAGGTAGATATTGTTACTGCAGCTATGGGCCATGCATTAGCAACTGAAGGAGGATTCTGCACTGGAAATTCCAGAGTCATTGATCATCAAGTATGGAAATATACATGTCTAACAACTTAATAATTTTATTGAAATTTGGATTAGTCAGGTCCTTCATCGTCATTGTATTAGCACGTGGTAGTGTCGTAGTGGTAATAATAATTATTATTCTTCCAATTCTAAAGTGCTAATGATTATTATTTGTGGATCTTTGGCAGCGGCTGAGCAGTTCTGGGTATGTGTTTTCTGCTTCTTTGCCACCGTATCTTGCAAGTGCTGCAATTACTGCTATCGATGTTCTGGAGGATAATCCTGCTTTAATAACAAAGTTGAAAGAAAACACTGCTGTCTTGTGGAAAGGTTGATTCTGAGTGCATTACTGTGTTGTCATTGTCATGCTCTCCTTTTTTAACTTTCTTTCCCTTATCTACAAAGTGAGACTCATGATAAATGTGCATTGATTTGTTACTATTCTGTCTTTCTTTTTGGGACAAATGGCCACCGTTGTCTTGTTAATTTTACCGGCACCTTTGTCTCACTTTGTATTTACTTGGTAGTGATCTTTTGTGTTCTCAGAATATTTTCTTCATGAACACTTGATTCATGCAAGTCAATCCTCATGTAACGCATTTCAATTACTTCAACCACTGACACTGAGGCCAAATATCATATCATCAATTCATCATAATATTTCCTTGAGAACATTTGACCTGTATGAGTTGGCATAGGAGTATGATTAGTTGCACCTCTTTTGGTTTAGTTGAACTGAAGCTTGAGAAAAAGCAGTCAGATATTTTGGTCCTGTTTGTTTATTGCTTTTACAATGGTTGATTGAGTTAGAGGTAATGTTCAGTAAAGACTTGTACAATTGCAGCATATTTCTTTATGATGAATATAAATCATTTTTCATATGAAGTTTTATGGAAGTAAAAGCTAGAAGCTCATGCTTACAATCTAGGCAGCTTATAGGCAAATCAACTGGAGAAACCATCAATTTTTGTCTAGAGAAATCATCTAATGATGGCTTTTGGTTCAAGAAAGCCAGTTCTTGTTTGGAGCTAGAGTTCCTGTTGTCAGAAATAACTTTTTTGTCTTACTTTATATCTTATTAGTTTTTTATAGCTTGCACAAATTTCCTATTTCTAAATTTATTTGGTGATTGCAGGATTGTCCAACATAAAGGGTCTCTCTATAGCCAGCAATCCAGAATCACCTATTGTTTTTCTGAAACTAGAAAAGTCCACAGGTTCCACTAAAGATGACCTTCAAATCCTTGAAGCTATCGCTGATCGGGTAAGAATGAATGAGTTATTTGGTTCATTATAATTACACTTTGGTTGTTCTATCTTGCACTCACTCTGTTTCTTTGTCGTTATGAATTTTTCAGGCTTTGAAGGAAGACTCTGTATTTGTAGTAACCTCAAAGAGATCAATGCTTGATAAATGTCGTTTGCCTGTGGGAATCAGATTGTTCATATCTGCTGCCCATTCAGATTTTGATCTGCTCAAGGCATGTGAATCCTTGAAGAGGGTTTCAGCATCGGTGCTGCTGAATCAATAATTGAGAGCTGTACATCAGATTGATTGCTTTTCTTTCCCTCGACGTCCATACTGATCTGCATCAGATTCTTCTCATGGCACTCATCCACCATCAAATACTCTTCAGATCCAAGCCAAGGAAGAATTTTAGTGAGAGAGGTCAGTGGATGTTGATAGTTTATGGAATTCTCTTGTGATTATTTTGAGTTGCATTTTTGTCTTGGTTTTAAAAGATCAGCATGGTTAATATGGGTCTTAGTCATAGGATTGATTCCATTTCTGAGGTTGACAATGAACAGTTGATTAAAACAGATTGTATTGCTTGTTCGCAAGTTTTTTAGAGTAGTTGTGACATGCACTCCACTTATGGTTCCACAGTTTTTTTTTTTTTTCCTCATTAATTAAAGAGAACACATCTCTGGTATCGCTACTGTTTATATTCATGGGTTTGGATCCACATTTAAAACTCAGCAGCCAGGGTCAGAGAGAGTGAGTCCTTGAATTCCCATGTTAAACCTGTTATTGCTTAGGCCATCAGTGCTTCTGCTGCCTCGTTCTTAGAAGGACCATTATAACCTGTTTCTTCTAGATCTATAAACCAAGAATGAACTTGACAGAAAGATGTAGAGACGAGATGGGAAATTTCAGAATAATAATCTATTTCAGTAAGACCTAGCATGTTGCCATTGAGATCATTACCTAATTAGTTACATGAGATAGCATTTTAAACCAAAGAACCGTAACACTTCTCATTACTCCTCAACATCGTCATCGTATGGCAGAGGAAATCCAAGGACGGCATGAGAATACTCGGCCAATTGCTCTCCTGAAATGTGCATCAGTGAGAATATATGAGCAGTGCCTTCTGAATCCTTCACTGATTCTGCTAAATGGGTAAACTTATTCCTTGTCGGTGTATCAGCATTCCTGAAAAGATCGGTGATGTCATTCCCGAAACTCTTCCTGTGCAACCTTTACATGCTTCGGTCCATAGCATGCTCGAGCCGAATCATTTGAAAGCATGTCAGAGAACTCTTCTAGGGCTCGGACCTCTTGCGCTGCTGTAGTCTCTTTATCATGTTCATGACGTTTGAAGCACCAAGAACCTGCTTCAAAGCATGTTTGTTTCTTGAGCTTGTTAGCACAACAATAATGCGGGACTTGTTCCTGATGATCGATTTCAATTCCAATCTCCTTCCTGCTTCCAACATGAAGTACCAATGAAACTGATCTTTAGTGTCGCTAGGAAGATATATTGCATTAAAACGACAGAAAGATCAGCAGCACCTGTAGCAGAATCAGAAGCAGCCCGATTGATCATGTCCCTAACGAGTCCCAATGCTCCTTGCTTAAAGTAAAGGGTCGATTCAGCTCAAGCTCTAAAGTATAATCGCTCCAATCTTCAAATAATCAATCCGTAACTTATTCTTTCTGCAAATTCGCAAGACTTCATCTTGATTTCCAACTTCATCTGAACGAGTTCCGAACCTTTTCCAATTTCCACCACGATCATCTTTCGAAAATTTCTGGACATTATGAGCATAACAGCGTCTCCTGGAACTTTCAAATTGTAGAGGGCACACCAATCATCTTTATCTTCAGCTTCCATTTTAATCCCACTGTGTTCCTGCACTACAAAAGTACGCGTACCAAAAGAAAATGATAAAAAAAAAGGATAAATAATAAAACTACAATGTTGCCGATGCCAATCATTATCTATGATGTTTCCATAAAATAAATTTGATCAATTATTAAAAATATAGAAAATTCTACTAAATCGTCCTTTTTAGATTTAATTACAAGTAATAATAATTTAGGTTAAGGGAATGAATATTGGTGAAGTAGTGTGTAAATTAATTTTAGGGTATTTTTGATATATAGTTTAAACAATGAAGAGATATTAGTTATACTATTAAATTACAGTTTTATAGTTCTTAAGAAAGTGAGATTCCTAATTTCTGACGAATTACATTCCCTCCAAAGACTAAGAGAGAAAAGTGAAGCTCTCACAAAAATTGGGTTTCTAAGGTAAATCAAACACAATTTCTCATTTCCGAAACCAAACATCACCTTAATTTCATAATTAAATTAACTTAAAAGTAATCTATCTCTGGAGAAAGGAAACCATAAATTAGCGTATGTTTGTTTTGTGGAAAATAATCTTTAGAAAAATATTTCCCTTTATTTTTTTATGCAAAACAAACATCAAAAAATAAGTCAGAAGAAAATATTTTTCTATAAACACCTAAATAATGCCAATTTTGAAGGAAAGCAATTTAACCTCATGAAAAAAGGAAAAATATTTTCCTTGGCACTATCAACTCGTAGTATTCACCAATTCCATGATTTAACCGCTTCAAACCAACCATCACCATTGATCATTATGACCACTCTTTTTCTTTAGTAATATAACTACTCTTTCATCACCATCTCATCGTAACACTCCAACAACAACGTCGTCATAACAACAACCATCACCTTAATGCCAACATCACACACCATTACCATTTGATTATCAAGATAATCATCACTTCATCATCATTTTCGTAATTACCATCGTCATTCTAATATTAATCAACACAATTAGTCGTCATAATCATTATTGCCACCACCACTTTATTATTAAAATAATTAATATCATAACTATTATTTTATCATTGTTGCCACAACAATCACTTCCACCAACACCAATAACATTATTGATGAGTGATGATCCTCAAATAATTAATAATGATGAGGTGGTTTTCTACACGACTAATACCCTTTGGTCCTACTATAGTGAAGAGAGCATTGATACTTTTTTATATATGCACAACAGGTCCTTCTTTAAGGATTGAGGAACCTTCTAACGATCAAGTTAGTTTATGAAGAGAGGAGATGATTTAATAAATTATAGTGTTTATGTGTTTCTCTCGCTTTAATAGACACAATAAATCAAAAGTTAAAAGTTCTACTTTTTGCTCGAGCAATACCGACATGACAATCCACGTAGGCATGACACGTGAATTTTAGCAAGTTATATAGGATCCATGTAAGCGATTTCCACATCACTATTTATATGAATCCTACGTAGCTTGTTAAAGTGTACATGTCATGCTTTGTCACCTATCATGTCGGTGTTACCTAAAACTTTGATCGAAAAATTAAATCGAAGCTAGTATTATTATTGGAGGCTTAATTAGTGACCTTTCTATATAATTTTTAAAAAACGAGCAAAAATCATTAAAAAGTGCATTATTCGTGATTTTTTGAAACATTAAGTTTGAAAATTTGTTTAGTGTTAACATTGAAATTATCTATATAGTTGGATGATATTTTTAAAATACGCCCTTTATGTCATGGTTAACAAAGAAAAGAGAAGAAATTAATAAAAGAGGAGAGAAAAATTGAAAAACATAATTATGAGACTATGAAAAGCTATATATTCCCTTGAAAATTACGAAACATAAGAAAATGGAAAACATTTTTTTTTTTAGTTTCCAATGTTCTTTGGAGCAATGCAAAGAGTATATATATTAGTAATTTTATGATGCTGATGGAGGTCAATAAGCATCGATATCACGAAAGATGCAACCTATGCATCTACAAATATTAAAAACCTAGTTGGGAAGCGAAGTTGCCAAAGAATTTGCTAAACAATGTTGTAACACGGAAACTACTCTTATCTTCTTGGCCGTTTTCAGAATGCCTTTTTTTTAGGCAGCAGAGTTATTTCCTTTTATTTGTTTATGTGTTGAAATTGATTCACAAGGCTAGCGACTACGATGGATGAACAATAATAGCACCAACTTTATGTTTCTTTGCTATTTTTCCTTTCTTTTGGTTGAAAAGTTTAAGGTATATATTCAAGTAAATTATTATTAGTCTCTTTAATTTTGAAAAATCAATTAATTAATTTTTTTTATTTTAAAGACTAATTTTTTAATCCTTATATTTTTAATTTTTTTGTAACTTGATCTTTTTATTTTTTTCAATTTATTTTGATTTTTTATTTTAAAAAATAAATAAAAAGTATGAAAATATTGACGAGAATAGATGATATTTTTAAAAAATAAAATAATATTAAATTGAATATCATCAACACTGATTAAAAACTAAATAATTAATTTTTGAAACAAAAAATTAATTAATTCATTTTAAAAAATAGAGGGACTAATTTATAAATTACTAGCATATATTCTCAATTTGTATTAAGACTGAATTATTAAATTTCCGTCTAAAGTAATTCATTTACATCATAATTAAAGGGTTATTAAAGAGTTCATAGAAAATCAAATGGTTTCGCAAGAATATGGATTCTCACTATTTGAATTTTTTTATTCTACAATACTGGCTATTCTCAAGCAAATTTGCATGTCAATTGAGATCAAATTTTTCTTAAGAATATACACTCTTTATCGATTTTTAATCTTTATATTTTTAATTTTCTTGTAACTTAATCTTTTTAATTTTTTTTTAATTTTTTTTTAATTTTTTGTTTTTTTTAAAAAGTAAAAAGTATGAAAATATTGACGAGAAAATATGATATTTTTTAAAAATAAAATAGTATTAAGTTGAATATCATCAACACTGATTAAAAACTAAATAATTAAATTTTGAGAAAAAAATTCATTCATTCATTTTAAAACAGAGGAACTAATTTATAAATTACTGGCATATATTCTCAATTTGTCTTAAGAGTAGTGAAGTATTAAATTTCCGTCTAAAGTAATTCATTTGCATCATAATTAAAGGGTTATTAATTAAAGACTTCTTAGAAAATCAAATGGTTTCGTAAGAATATGAATTCTCACCATTTGAATTTTTTTATTAGACGATAATGGATATTCTAGAGCAAATTTGCAAATCAATTGAGATAAAAAAAATTTTTTAACAACATACACTCTGTATCTATATAATATATTTAAAGAAATTTAATATTTTTTTTAGATATTATGTTTGAGGTTTAAATCCAATTAAAAATCAGACAAGAGAACATTTTTTTTTTTTTGATCAACAAACCAACTCCTTCAAATTTTACTATTTAATTTTAAAATCAACAAGATAGACCATATTCATGAGCATAAGTTAAGATTTAACATGTTACGAGATACTGAAAACTAAAATAGCTTAGATTCTCCTACGAGGACAACATTTGGTACTTTGTTATAACAAATTTAACATGACTTCATTAAAAAAAAAAAAAAATCCTTTATTTTCTTCTCATGTTTCGGATTTTCGTTGGTACTTTGTTAAGTTTCAAGTCAATTTTCATAAAATTTAGGAAGTAGAGTTCGTCTTTAATTATCTATTGCTTTTGATTGAGGATAGCCATGCAGCGGACGTAATCAAGTCAGGCAGCCAATTACATGCAAAACGGGGATAAGATTCTCCTGCGAGTACAACGACTGATAATTATTGTGATAATCAAATTTGAGTGGTTTATGTCCATCAAATTAAAAAGAAAAACAAATGAGTGGTTTAAGTAGTTTTGCTTCCTATATTTTTATCCAAAGTTGATTTACAGAGAAAGCTACAAGAAAAAATCACCTAGAAAAATTGTTAAGAATAAAAAATTAAGACATCTTTGTGAATGTGAATTTTTATAATAGTAATGATAAAATTGAATTCCTATAGCATAATTTGCAAACACAAGAAATAAATTTTTTATTTTATCTCTTACAATTTTCATGAATAGCAAAAAAAAAAAAAAAGTCACATTGGGCTCAATACTTTCAATTTTTAGTTACATCCACCCTTCTATTTCATTTTAGACCCTGCTAACCCTTCTACTTAAAAGTTTTGAAACTTTTTAACTCTTCCATCTGTTTCCATTAGGAAAGTCTGTTGGTTTGATCTAATGCCATCAATTGGCTAATTTTTGACTAATCAATTACGAATACGTGACTTGACTAAAAAGCATCAAATATCCTTTTATTATATAAATTTGATCAAATTAACTGTTTTTACAAAAAATTATACTTAATTAATAAAATAAAGTTTAAAATGAAAGAAGTAAGTAGAATTTGGTTAAGTTAACTAATAAAATACAGCATAAAAAATTGTTAAATTTACAATAAATTGTAAGACGTAGGGAAGTCCTTTATTTTATGAAGATAAAACATAAAAAGTTAAAACTTATTGAAAAATTATTAGGTTAGATTTAATAATTTCTTATACTTTATTTTATTAGCTCACCTAACCCATCAACAGATAAGTCTGTCGTTTTATTAGTTAAATCCATTTTATTACGAAAGAGGTAATTTGACCCTTAATTGACACGGTAATGGGATGTTTTATAATTTTTATACCGATTATGTATTCGCTGATTGGTCAATTGATAATATTAAGTCAAACTAACATATTTTCACCATAGAGGAGGGTAAAAAAGGTTTAAAAAATCTCAAAATTTTAAGCAGAAGGATTCACATAATTCAAAATAGAGTTGATGATTGGATATTACTAAACATTGAAAATACAAGAGCAGGCGATGATCTTTTGCCAAAAGAAAATATTTATTAAACCAAGTCAATTATTTTACACCTCTTTTAAATACACAAAATCATGACTATAGAGTAGAGGGTTATTTTTTATTTTTTATTTTATAGGAAATCATAGAGGAAAAATTAAATTGAAAGAATAAAAAAATATACAATTAAAGAATAATGATGAATATTAAGGTTTGGTGTCTGTAACATCGTACCCACTTCCCAGTCATTACGTACCAGCCTGGCTGTCTCAATCCACCTAACCAACGTTTGACAATGATATAGTGTTAATAAAATACTACGTCAATTTTTTATTTTTTTTAAATACTCAAAAATTCAGGAAAAAAAATTGTATTCGAATCTCAAATAAAATTTTAATTATTATTATTATTGTTGTTATTATTTTGAGAGACTGCTAAAAACGATCTCTCGTTCACCTAACTTTCAATATTTTTTGTATTCGATTTGGTTGGGAAACTTTTTCGCATGTCACCGTTTCTTTAGGGCCCTAGCGTACTACTCTGTTGATAATAACACTGTTTTTTTTTTTTAATCTTAAAATTACATTATTATTATTATTATTGGTTAAATTTATATGTCAATCAAAATTATTTAGTATTTCAAAAAATCTTGAAGGACATAACATGAAATAAATGAAAAGAACAAACAATTTAAACAATCCTTAAGATTACAAAACCCCACAACTGAGATTATCCAAAATTTACAAGAGCTCATGTAAATTCATGCATATCTTGAAGATTGAACAAGATAATTAAGTTTGCTCCTCCTATATATATATATATGAAAATAAAAAAGATGTAATTATGTAATAATATACATAACTTAGAGCAAATGAATTTTTTAAAGTATATAGCGATTTGAGAACCGTGGATCAAAATTTCTCAAGTTTTCTTAAGATTTAGAAAAAAGTTGGAAGATATAACTATTTAAAAGAATAGCCGTTAATATAGTAAAAATATATATTTATATATAGAATGTTTTTACATTTTTTTATCATTTACGATAAATAAATTCTAAATCTAAATCTAATGTCATATTTTTTATATTTAAATATTTTTGTATTTTAAAAATATTATATTTATTAAAAATATTGTTAATATTAATTTTGAGTTGAATTATTATTAGATTATATTGAGATACGTCTATATTTAATTTATTTAATAAAAAGATTAAATGATTCCGATTATAATAAACCCCAGATCATATAAATTGTATATCAAATTTATTTATTTATATCAATTCAGATTAATAAAAATAAACACTATTTTAATCCAAAATCTTAGATTAATGGGTTAGGAGTAAATCTTACCTATAAATACTTCAATTTTTTATTTCTAACTGATATAGCTCATTAGCTTCTTAAGAGTGAACAGTGATCATAAAAAATAATTTCAGTTAAGCAGTTTGGTGGTTAAAAAGGTTGTTTTTTAAAAAAAAAAAAAAAATTCAATCCTGAATGTTAGAAGAAATTTATTAAAATTTTCTCAATGTGCCAAGTAACGTGGAGGATGCATCATCAAATAAAAACATTAAAAAAAAAATAAAGAAAATATAAACCTTAAAAATTCATTATCTACTATATTATAGTTTCCATCACTAATCAGGTCGATATTGCATTATTTTCAACGCCAAAATCCTCGCTATAATCCAAACTCATCTCCAGTTCTTCCTGAGGGCCTTTTTAAACAGAGAAAACTCTGTCCTTCTCTCCCTCTCCCTCTTTCCTCTCTCTAGATTCATTTCAGTCTGAAAGTAAAAGGCTTTCTCCTTTGAGCTCTCCGTTTTTTTATTTTTCTTGCTGCAAACATGTCTCTCTTATCTGATCTTATCAACTTGAACCTCTCTGATGCTACTAAGAAGATCATTGCAGAATACATATGGTATCAATCATTTCCACTTTCTCCCACGTTACAGTCTTTTTGCCCCGTCCTTTACTCTGTTCCTTTCCATTTCTTTAGGATGCTAATGGTTTTATACTGTAACTTCTTAGTCCTCTGTTTTCCCCTGTTTCTGGTTGTATATGAGTTTCCTTTTTGTTCCTTTTTTTTGGGGGGGGGGGGATTTTTTAAGTTTTTTGATCTGATGGGTATTCTTGTTTTTTTTTTTCCTTTTTTGTTTAATTGAATGAGTTTTGATCTCTCTTGTTACCATTTTCTTTGATGCGTACTTAATTGTTTTACAAACAGTGTTTTTCTCAGTCTTCTGTTTCTTCCCTGTTTATGTTTGCATCTCAAGTTTTCAATTTGCTCATTCTTACGAGATTCTTTCAGTTCTATCGTTGATCCAATGAGTTTTGATCTCTCTTGGGCTTTTATCACTCTCTTTTAATGGATAGGTACTTAACGTTTTGATGATTTATCAAGTCTTGATCTTGATGTGTTACTTATCTTGCAGGATCGGTGGATCTGGTATGGATGTTAGAAGCAAAGCCAGGGTAATCAATAATTTATCTGTTCATGTTTCTATCACGATCCTTTTAGTTGTTTTTTTTCCTGAGAAGTTTGTTGATTTACATGAAACAGACGATCGATGGAGTAGTGAGTGATCCTCACAAGCTTCCAAAGTGGAACTTTGACGGTTCAAGTACTGGCCAAGCTCCTGGAGACGACAGTGAAGTCATCTTATAGTACTCTCTCTCTCTCCCCCTCGATCTGTCTCTCCCTTGTGTGTGTGTGTTTAATGGCACTTGTCTTTTTGGTGCATGGATTTACTTTTGTTTTGATGTCATGAAAATAGCCCACAAGCAATATTCAAGGACCCATTTAGGAGGGGCAACAACATCCTAGTAATGTCTCTTTCACTTATTCTATTAAATTTGTTTGATTCATTCATTAATGGAGTTTTTTCAGAATTTTATTTTAATTAATTTCGAATTTGTAGGTGATGTGTGATGCTTACACCCCAGCTGGAGAGCCAATTCCATCTAACAAGAGACACGATGCAGCAAAAATTTTCAGCCATCCAGATGTTGCTGCTGAGGAACCCTGGTATCTATTTGTTTGATTTTTAAAAGTTATTCAAACATTCCATTTCTTTTTAACTTGTGAATATTCCTTTTTGTTTTTTAAATTTTATTTTTAAGATTAACTGGATGATTCTATCATAATTCTTTAGGTATGGTATAGAGCAAGAATACACCTTGTTGCAAAAAGATGTAAAGTGGCCAATTGGTTGGCCTGTCGGTGGTTTTCCCGGACCTCAGGTATAAATTTCTTTCTCTTTTGCACCTTTCCTTTAATCTAATTTGTGTATACTTTCTCCTTAACTTGTACGGAACTGCTTATCCTAATTATTGGCATTAATGTCTTAACTGAAAAACCCACGTCCCATTTTTGGGGCCTTGTCATGTTTTATTAACTTTGAACATCACATTGAACTACAAGAAGCTCTAAATAAATGGTGAATTTGTTAAACATTGTCCCCAGATTCATCTTCTTCCTCTGTCCTTTTTTTTTTTTTTTCGAACCCAATATCTCTTGATCATCTTGATTCTATTGAACATCTGCTTTGTGTCTTCTATTAATGTTCAATTGTTTGTTTGTTAAAACAGGGCCCTTACTATTGTGGTGTTGGTGCCGATAAGGCTTTTGGCCGTGATATTGTTGATTCTCATTATAAGGCATGTCTTTATGCTGGGGTCAACATTTCTGGCATCAACGGAGAAGTCATGCCCGGACAGGTATGTATTTATATATTGCACTCTTCAAGCTATCTACAAGGTTTTAATTTTTTTGTGCCAAGATTTTTTTTTTCTGAAGACTTTGACCTTCTTTAACATAACAGTGGGAATTCCAAGTTGGCCCTTCTGTTGGCATCTCAGCTGGAGATGAGTTGTGGGTTGCCCGTTACATTCTGGAGGTACTTGGAGCTTGTTATATATTGTTTTGTGTATCTTTTGTCTTTTTGATAATTTACGTTTTCTTGTTCATGTTAAATAGATATGAACTTTTTGAGACCAAATATGCTGTTACTTATGCTGTGGATTTATGTCAACAGAGGATCACAGAAATTGCTGGAGTGGTCGTTTCCTTTGACCCAAAACCTATTCAGGTTAGTTTTTGTTTCTGAAACTAATTCTTTAACGATGCAAAATTAGAGGATTAAACGCCTTATTATTAAGCATTTGTGCGTGTTCTTAACTCTGTCGAGTGCCTTGTCTTGTCAGGGAGACTGGAATGGAGCTGGTGCTCACACAAACTACAGGTAATATATGATTTGTACACAAAGAAACATGAATTCTCTTCATTGATTGAGCATTACCTGGACTTGGTTCTATTTTACACGTTTCAATTAGAGTATCTAACAAAAGTTTGTCATGGCTGTTTCAGTACCAAGTCCATGAGAAAAGATGGAGGGTTTGAAGTTATCAAGAAGGCCATTGGAAACCTTCAATTGAAGCACAAAGAACACATTGCTGCTTACGGAGAAGGCAATGAGCGTCGTCTGACTGGCCGCCATGAAACAGCCGACATCAATACCTTCTCTTGGGTAAGACTTTTTCTTCTCTGTGGATTACTTGAAGCAAATATCTTTTAAACGTTGGTGGTTAAATTAGAAGGAATAGATTGACAATTTTTTTTAAACTAAGCTCTATCTTCACAATCATGTTGTTAAATTCATTTGATAGGGTGTGGCCAATCGTGGCGCTTCAGTTAGAGTTGGCAGGGATACAGAGGCAGCAGGGAAAGGTTACTTCGAGGATAGGAGGCCTGCTTCCAATATGGATCCTTACATTGTCACCTCTAAGATCGCTGAGACAACCATCCTCTGGAAACCATAGAAGACCACCACCACCATTCTTGTTCTGTGGTTTGATTATTGTGATGGTGGACCATTTATCTTGAGAATAAAAGACCCCCACCATTCTTATTCTGTGGTTGATTATTGTGATTATATGGACCGTTTCTTTACTTGAGAAGACTTGATAAGTTCTCCCTAGTTAGAACTGGTATTGCCATTGTACGAGAATTGCTACCTCATTTGGGCTTATAATTGAATGAAAAATAACATTATTAGTAGCATAGTAGGGCAGATTATTTCTTCGAAATGATAAAGAGTGCAATGAAGTAATTATCGATTGTACGTTTCCTGAATTTAGTATTGTTTTTGTCTTTGCCCCTATTGCTTCCATTTTTTTTTTTTTTTGTTGTTGTTTGACAAGGTGAAACGTATCGCGAGGGAATTAGACATTGGTCATTGATGATACTCATCGTGGATATGATTGTTCTTAATTTAAGATGCTGATGATAACGGTGCTGATCAAATGCCCTCGAATATTATGGGAGTTGAAAATCATCATACTGATATAATTAAAAAAAAAATTAAAATTTCAATCGATTGATACAAATTTCTCTAAAATTTTGATTTTGTTTAGGGTATGACGTATTTTTATCGAAGTTGCGGGCTAAGTTCAGCTCAGTACTTTAGTTGTCGTTTAGTTGTGATAGTCAAAATACTTAGTTTTGGTTACGAACTCCTTCCTACTCCATTTTTGTCCTTTCCAACATCGGTCAGTCACTATTTCACAAAAGGATAAGCTCTCTTCTCAAGAAACTTCGGGCTGTTCCTTATCATCTCATCAACAAATGCCATCCTTGATCATTAAGGAAAAAAAGAAAAAAAAACTAATACGACCTGACCGAAGCCCGAGGATATCATTACCGCTTAAAAGAACCGTGGTGTAGAAATAATTTTGTTTACAGAAGGACAGGAGCCAGGACAAAATTTTTTTGGCAGAAACATAGATGGAATGCATTAGAAAAAGTGCAAAGCCATGTGAATGGGTATAAAGACCGAGCTCTCCAATCAAGAAATTGGGATATCTTTCTGCAACTGCAAGATTGACTCGTTTTAATTTTACACCCACCGATAAATTCATTTCAAAGGCTTGGGCAAAGGACAGTGATGCCGTACCACTTTGGCCTTTGCTTTTTTATCATTTAGTAGCGACCGAGTCACCAACCCACAAACGCACGCAAGTTTAGACTTTTGAACGTGGAAAAGTCAGATAACTTTTGTGGTCTCTATGAATTTTCACCTCATGCTCACCAACAATCTTTTTGGCTTTTTTCTTCGTCTTCCCATTTAGTGGACTGCATGGGGGCCATAAATGTTCTCTCTTTGAACTGTCATGCACTCATGCTATTCTTAGGGATTTTTCTTATTTGACTTCAAATCGTTACCAAATTTACATTATTTCTTTAAACAACTTAGTAAATAAAGGAAAAAATAGTATTATTTTTCTCTTATTTTCTTTTTCGAAAAAAAAAACAAATCCTAACCATTCAATCTACACTCTTAGACCTTAAAACCGATTTTTTTTCACCTTCGTTTTTATTTTCATCAAGCCAAAATTCATCAAACTCGCTATTTTCTTTCTTTTTTTTTCTATTTTTTCAGCCACCTACAACCTTAAACACTTTTTAATTATCAAAACTTGATTTAAGCGCTACAAACCCAACGTTTTTACTCAAAAATCATATTAAAATTTCAAATATCCATCGTTGACGTGATTTGTACATACTCGTACATTAAGCGATTTTTTTTATATAAAATAATTATATGTAAATTACATGATATTTTATAACGGTTTTATCAAAAGAAAAAATCATCAAAATAATATTAAAATCTTACTTAAAATACAAAAATATAATTTATTTATTTTAAATTATAAAAAATAGATTAAAGACTAATTTTATTATATAAATACAGAATATAACTTTTTTTTAAAGAAAAAAAAGTAACTAATGACTTTGAAGTCATGATCAGTAATTGCGCAATTCTTAGATCAATATCATGCCGGGAAACAAAATTCTTGGTCGATGAATCTAAAGTGGGTCAAAGTCAAACACATAAAAATTCATACATTCACCATAATTTTTTTCTCCTTGGTTGAACAGTAAATGACAATCGGAAAGTGAATCTAACTTATTTTAAAATGCTCGATAGGCAAGAAGTTGTGACTTCTATATATGTGTATATATGATTGACCACTAGCTAGGGTTTGCTAGTGATGGTGTCATGGTCACCCTTGAAGTTCCTGGATGGCTGGGATTAAAGTCATCAAAAGTTATAAGAAATACGAGGCTTGTTTTCTTGATGAAAAATTGTCATATATACTAATCGAGGTTGATTTTTTTTGTCGATTTTTTAATTTTTTAATTTTTTAATTTTTTTTTACAATTTAGTAAAAAAAAACTTGTATAACTAATATGTCACCCCCCCCCCCCCCAAACTCTCTCAAAAAAAAAAAAAAAAGATGCAATATAATAAAAAAGTTTCAATTAGAACACTATTTTATCATATATATTAGTTGAGGTGGAATTTTATTTTTTTTATCGATTTTTTATATTTTTTGACATTTTATAAGAAAATATTTACAACTTAAGTATAATTCTGAAAAAAAAAAAGAAGGATACAATGTAACAAAAACAGTATTAATCAAAACACCTACTGATTCATGAGTTGGGATGAAAATAGTAATTCAAGAGGTGTAAATCAAAATGATATAGTTCAATATTTGTATTGTTTGATTAGTCAAGAATAAACATAGAGGGAGTAATAAAGGCTAAGTTTATCAATTTCCTGAAATTTCTTAAATTATATATATGGCTTTATTTTGTAATTAATTTGTTTGAAAAAACAAATATCCTCGTCTTGTTTTCTTTGTTTCAATGAACTAGATTCCTTTATGATATTGATTTTTGATTAAAAAAAAAGACAAAAACAATAAGTTTCGATTTTGATAATTGAATGTCTGTGGTTTGGTAGGAGCGTATGGTAAGGTTATTTTCTTGGTTCATAGTCAAATCATTTTTTTTAATTTTGAATTTTAAGGAAAAGGAAGGACACATGCTTAGGGGTGAGCAAACGGTTCGGTTAATCGAAAATCGAATAAAATCGAATCGAATTATGAAATTTGGTTCGGTTTTAAATATAAAATTATACAATATAAAATCGAATCGAAAAAACCAAAATTATTTCGGTTCGGTTCGGTTTTTAGAAAAAAAATTTCGGTTTCGATCGAAAACCGAAATAAATAGTAAAAAATTTCTTAATTTCTAAATCCATAACTTTTCAATCTTCATTCTTGTTGAAATTGAAATATGCGGATGGGAATTAAATTTTGAAGATTGTTGGGTAAGAAAAGAAAGTGACAGAGTGTAATTAATTGAGATACGAGTGTGTTTGAATGAACAAATTTATTACACTTGAACTCGTTTTCATTAAAGCTTAGTTAAAATCTTCGAAGGCTTTGTGATTGATAACAAGATGTTACTTTATTGGCTAATGGACTAAGTGCTAGTACAAAACATCTCTCTATAATGATTTTTTTTTTACGAGTAAAATATTTTGGTTAAAACCGAAATATTTCGAAACTAAACCGAAATAATTCGGTTACAAACCGAATTTATCGAATTTATTTCGGTTCGGTTTTGATTTTTATTTTTTTACTTCGATTAACCAAAAATCGAATCGAATCGTACAAAATCGAACCGTTTAACCGAATGCTCACCGTACATGCTAAATTTTTATTGGTTATGATTTCAAAAAAAAAAAAAAAAAAAACACAGAAAAACAAAGATTAGAAAGAAATCTATATTATGGAAATGAACTTTATTTATATTATACGTACAAAAGGGTAACAGCAGAAAAGAGAATCTGATAAATCATTCCGCTTCATTTATCCATACGTGAATCGAGGATCATGTCCCTTGCTAATCCTCCTAATGCAACCATGAGGAAGAAATCAAGCTGTTGATTTTCCTTTTGCAACAACCCTTTTCTCCCCATAAATTTTATAATACTTAAAAATTAATTAATAATTTATTATACATATTCATTTTTAAAAAAATAAATAAAAAAAATAAAAAATTATATCGAAACCCATCAAAATAATAAAAAGATTTCTTTGTTTGCTTAATTTTTTTTTTACATTTATCTCTTTCTTTAAAATAAATTCATGAAATAATTATTATATATCTCATTAATTATTATGTACATATTATAAAATTTCTCCTTTTATCTACGCTACAATGATCCAATGAGATTGAACCACATAACAAAGCAACACATCATCCGATGTGGCCATTATTAGATCCATTTGGGAATCTTTTTAAGTGTTGATTCTAAAGTAGAGATGACCAAATTTGGAAGAGGTAGGTAGTGCTATCTAACTCGATCTGTGTAAGGTGAAGACAAAGCATTGTTGTAATTGCATCACGTACCACTCACCAGCCAGTCAGCCAGCTATCTATGTTGGGTTTAATTGGATAATGGAGTAAGCTGCTGCATCTGACCATGCTTGCTACAGAATGAGCATCTCTCGAAGCTGATCTTACTCGATCGGTAGAGGAAACAGTAATCACTACTGTCACAAAAAGAAGCAAAGAAAGATACGGTTAACGTCACGTACGTAGTGCTTAGTTATTAGGAAACCATGAGAGAAAATGGCCCATTGGGACTTCAATATATTTGAAAAGAAATTAAGAAAAGAATTAATGATTTTCTTTTTCTTGGAGTTTGAATGTAATGGGTGTCTAGCTGTATAGTAGGAATAATATCCTGCTCATTTATAAAATTCATCCTATTTTTCTCAAAATTTGAACATGAGATCTCTAAATAGAATTCTCAAGACCAACTGTTATGTCGCCTCTTTGGGAATTGAACAAAACTTAAACAGTCGCAAGTAATATTGGTGAGTCACTCATTCGTTTGATATCCATGACGTGTGTATTAATTAATAAAAATTCTTTTTGCTTTTATTTCTTCGTGAATGCTGATGCTGCTGGATTTGAGTTTTTTAGATCGAGTACAGGCAAAGTAAGGCTATTAATGGATCAGATCTTTTGATCCGAATCAGATTTTAGTTAAATGGATTTAGTAAGCAAAATTTTTTTCTTTTAATCTAAATTCGATTATTATCCGAATCTATTAACTCATTTATTAAAGACTCAATATATCAAAAAATCACGAATTTTATACTTTTTAATTATATTAGTACATTCTTTAATTGTTGAATTGAAAAAACATGAACTAAACTTCTCATGACCATATTAACACATTTTTTTAATATTAAATTGAAAAAACATGAACTAAACTTCTCATTACCTCAACTTAAATTTCGTTTTAAACAGAAACGGCGTGTGAGAGAATATAATAGCATGGCATGATTACCATGTAGGATTCCATGTGACTTATTTGAGAAATTAAATACCCAATTAGTGAACTACATGTCGTTTATTCCCTTTCAAACCCAATTTTTTTAAAAAAAAAAAAAAATCTCCAATCCTTCCTTATTATCATTGCAAAATCCCTACCCTTTCCTTCTTCTCATCCCCAAACCCATAAATCTTTAACCACTGAACCCAATCCTATTTAGAAAGAGAAAAGTTTCTATCGAAATATCGACTTACTTATTACATTAACTTTTTTTTTTTTTTGAGGAATAAGAATACATTTTCCAACTTAACATATAAATGTAAGTCATCTAGCATATTCTAATTTCCAAGTACTTTGAAAATTAAATCTCGTATCACCAAAAAGGATCGATGATAATGATGTTTTTTTTTATGAGTGGTGGTTGTGGTGGCTAGTAAAGGAGGTCTCGGTGGCTGTTGGGTGACTAGAAGAATGGATCGGTGTGAAGAGAGGCGGCATAAAGGATTTGATAGCAGTGGCAGTGGTGGCATTGCGGGTTTTGTGACAGTGGCGGCTGATTCGGTGTTGATGGCTTGGCTGGGAGAGAAACAACGTGAGTTTTGTGGCAGTGGTAGTTAGTTTGGTGTTGGATCAGAGATTTCAAGTGAGAGGGTTCAGTGGTAGTGGAGAGTAGTACAGATGGGGGTTAGTGTGGCAATGAAGCTGGGTTTCGGCGAGATTTTAATGGCAATAGCAATGGTTACGACGGGTTGTGGCGAGGAACATCAATGTTGTCTGTGGGAGTACGAAAGACAGTGCTGGACAACGATGTTTACCCTGTGTTTGGATATTTCCTTCGGGAGGAAAGAAAAGAGAGAAAAGAAAATGAAAGTACAACAAAAATTAAAAGGAAAGAAAATTATTTTTCACTTATTCTTTGAATGTTTGAATAAGAGTAGAAATTAAAAAAAATATATATTTTTTTTATTTGGATAATTGTAAAAAGAGAAAAGAAAGAAAATATATTATTATATATTTACTATAATACTTCTATAATTACATTTCTATATTTAAATACTTATGATAAATTTGTATAAATATTATTTTTCATTAAAATTACATAAATGATAATAAAATAAAAATCTAGCATGTAGTATCTAAGATTACATTCTTTAGTGATAATAATTTTGATATATTAATGTTAAAAATATCAAAAAGTATCTTAAAAAAAATATCAAATTAATGATAACTTATTTTTATAAAAGCATATGCATTGCATTACCACACGTACTTACTCTATTTTATCCCAAACAAAGAATAAAAATATTGTGTTACATGATGAAAAACACGTGAAGAAGAAGATATTTTTTAGGAAATTGAAATGATCGTGCTTAAAAACTGCTATAAACACCAACCACAAAACTCTACTGGACTCACATAGAGCTGAGTAAGACACATGTGAGTAAGGGTAAAAATGCGAATGAAAAAAAAATTGTTAAGCATCACGGTTTTCTTTCTAATTTTGGGAGGAAAATGGATCCCATCAAAAAGACATTTGTTTAATTTTTTTTTCTTTCCACTTCTTTCCTCTCCAAACCAAACGAAGGAAAACTTTCATTTCCTCCCTATTTTCCTTTCCTCTCCTCCACTTTTCTCTTTATCCAAACAAAGGGTTAATGATGGATGCTGGTTTCGAATGGGCTTGACAACTGAGGAGGACGGGGATGAGAAGAAGGAAGGTTAGGGATTTTGCAATGGAAATAAGGAAGGATTAGAGAATTTTTATTTAATTAGGATTGAGAGAAAATGAATGACATGTAGTTCACTAATTGGGTATTTAATTTCTCAAATTGACCACATAGAATTCTACGTGGCAATTATATTATGTTGTCATACTCTCTCACATGCCACGTTAGCTTAAAATAGAATTTAAATCGAAAAAATTAACATGTGTTAATATGGTTATCAAAACCTTAGTTCATGTCTTTTCTATCTAATATTGAAAAAACATGCTAAAATGATTAAAAGGTGTAAAATTTGTGATTTTTTGGTACAATAAGCCTTTATTAAATGGATCAAATATAGATTTATCTGGATTCAATTCGATAATAACCTAATATTCTATAATTAAAAATAATATTAGTTTTAATAAATATAATATTTAAAATTTTTAAATATAAGAAAAATATATAAATATAAGACTAGGTTGAAATTTAGGATTTACTTAAACTCATTATATGTTTACTTTGTATGCATTAACCAATTATGAAAATTATTGTTTGTCCATTTTTAACGTTCTTTTATATATATATATATATATATATATATATAAAAGTTGTGGTAGAGGTGAACAATGAATATATTTAAAAGGGATTATTTCATTTGTTTCAAACTTAATGATAAGAATCATAGCCTCGGAAACTAACTTTTTATATATTGGAGCCCATTTTAAAATTTCAATATTACACATAAAAGTATAGCTCAAACTAATTGATATGGTAGATGTAGACAATAAAGTCTTTTCAATGAATTTTTTTATAAAACTTGAATCTCTTATATATATATATATATATATATATATATATATATTGACATTTCACTTATTGAAAGAAGGTGTAGAAACAAATAATTGGAGGTTAAATAATTGGAGGTTAAAATTCGAGATACTAAAAACTTGTATCATTAAGAAATCAATGAGGATTGGATTTAAAGAAATTAAAGTTAAGAAAATGCAATATTAGTACTTATTTATCTATATGACATTACTAATATTAATAAAAAAAATACTAATAAATTTTTACGAAATAATTTGTTACAAATATATGATAATATTAACATATTTAATTTTTTCTTTATAAGTCTTAATTTGTAGCGCTATTATATCATAATTCAAATTAACAAATATTCTTTTCATTACCACGTGGACAAGAAATAAAAATTATTTATTATTATTATTTTTAATTGTATTTCCCACCTAATTCAAAGCAAACTTTTATTAGGATTATTTGATTTTTTTTTTTGAATTGTGTGGCGTTTTGAATTTTTTACAAAATTAATCAATGAAATATTATTTTAATATATTTTTTATATATGTAGTAATTGAAATATATTTTATATATAAGTAATATATTATATGTAGTGAGAATAATTTTTCTATAAAAATCAAGAAATAAATCTAATGTAGCTCCAAATCCTTTAAGATTTAGATCCGAATTTATATTTTTAAAACCACATTCGAATTCATAACATCTGATTTGATCTGGTTTATTAAATAAATTAGTTTTGAATCGATTATAAATCCATCCGGATCAGGTCCATTTACAGCGCTACAGGCAAGGAAGTGGAAAGAAAGACGGTAACATGACATATTGGGTTTGGAACAATATGTAGGTCAGAAATATTGGGGCAGGGTACAGAAAAGGTCTTCAAGTTGTAGCCGACAGAAAAACAATTACAGAAAGCAAGAACTAAAAGCCCAGCCCAGAACAAAAGCTTATCAGCCTATCAAAAGCGATTCATGGACCTTATAAGGCTTTAAAATTTTCTAGGGTCCATTCATTATTTGGGAAGGCTACTTGAAAAATATCCAGGAATCATTTTATTCGGTTTTTAGTTACATCGTTATATTGTTTTTTAAATGAATGAAAAGATTATTAGCTACTTCGGAATTTTTTTAATTCATTTCCTTGAAAATGGGATATATAATTAGTTACCATAATGATTCCCATTTTTATATAAGTACAAAAAAAAAATACTTAATAATTTTTAGTAATAATTATCTTTCCATAAATTGGCCTCCCCTCTTAATTTGGAAATCTTTTAATCGATTTAAAAAATTAATAATTAATAATGATCTTTAGATTCCATATATATATATATATATATATATATATATATATATATATATATATATATATATTAGAAAGCAATTAATGCTATCTTACGTATGATAGCTTGAGAAACAATCATGTGTGGAGTAGAAGTAATCACTCCTTGACAGAAATTATTGTTTTTTTTTTTTTTTTTTGAGGAAGGAATGATAGCAATAATATTAATTATGACTAAGTTTTTTTTTTAATTATTATTCATAATATTGTTGCTGCTATTCCTTCCTTCAAACAAAAAAAAAAAAAACAATAATTTCTGTCAAGAAGTGATTACTTCTCCTCAAATGATTGTTTCTCAAGCTATCATATTTAAGATAGCATTAATTTCTTTCTATTTTTTAGCCGATAAAAATATTTTAATTACTATACAATATTTTATCAATAAGGAAATTTAATTTTTTTCTATTGATGAATTATTTGAATTATTAATATATTTATGAAATAATAAATGTTGTCTTATATATATAACATAAGTACTCGTTGTTGAAATTTCTTAGGGAAAATTTGTAAATTAAAAACACAGGTCCAAGAGTACAACATTGGCTGCTGTCCAAGACAAACACTGCAACTCGATTTGTCTACAGGAAAAAATAAATAAATAAATAAAAAACCATTACAGCAACAATCTCAGGAACTAGAAATAGATTTTAGGTTAATGAAGTGAAACTAATTATGTCTATATTTCGGAATGACATTTTTTTTTCAAAAAAAAGAAAAAGAAAAAAAATTTTAGATTTAGATTTTATATTAAAAATAACACGATAAATCATAATTATTAGTTTAATTTGGACCTCTAATTTTATTATAAACAAATCTTGATCGTGTTAAATTTCCAAAGCAAAAAATGAAATGTTTTAGATTTTATGCATGTGGTGCGTGTATGTTTGAATAAGAAGAAACAAGAAAAGGGGAATCCAACTACTTAATCGTGCCTATTAATTTGTCCATGCATTTCGTGCTTTAAAGATTGAATTTTCTAATCCAAGCGATTAGTCAGAATTATTTAATTTAAGTGATTAGTTGAATGGTTAAAAAGTATATATTTTTTTTCACTCAAAAGAATTGGATAAAAAGAGTTTTAATCGTTTAAATAAGTGATCTTAATTTTAAGTCTTTGTATATACTAAAAAACATTCTTTAAATAGTTATGTTTGTTTTATGCGTCCAATCAAACAACATGAGATTAGTTTGTATTTTTAGACTTGAAATATTCATAGAATCAAAAAAAAAAATCATTGAACCCATTAAATTATTTTAAATCTATAGAATCGATATTAATTATGTATTTTTAATATCGTATGTGAAAGAAAAAAAAATTCTATTGATGTACAAATTGATTCAAAAATTAATTTCGTAATCCAATAAAAAAAATTGGATTTTTCAAGGTGATTATACCTTCTCAAATTTTCTTATCTTCGTCAAATTTTGTTGGGTCAACATTCCAGTACATGCCAAACTATTACACCAAGGTTTATTACTATAATGAAAGGAAAGCACAGAGCAGGCATCAATGGTCGGTGGTTGTGCAAATGCAAGTATACTATTATGCGTTGAGATATTTCTTGTTTTCAGAACCAGTCATGATTAACGTGAAAAAGTATATCCTCAATATGCTATAGAATAATAAACCCCATCAAAATCACAGACAAAGCATCTTGCGAAGTTCTGATTTTTTGGGTTTCGAAAGACTAAGATTTGTCTTCTCAGCTTCATTGGACAAAATTGCAAAATAATGTATATTTATAACATCAAGTAATATATAAAATTGACATGATTTTCATTTTCAAAATTTCTAAATTTAGACATTTGAATAACGAATTATGACTAATTGTTAAGTTTTATTTAGCTAAGAACAACTACCTTCCGCATGTATATCAAATTCTTTGCAATATTACTTGGCCATGAATTGGACTTTTCACAACCCAAAATAAAATTTTCAGAGGACGATGGACTTGTTAAGCTAGTCAGATGAAAGAAGATAAAGAAAAAAAGATGCTACTATAATTATAATTTTATGTTAAATATCCAAATTAAGATACTAATTGTGATTTGAGAGAAGTTAAATCTTCCTTCCGTATGTATATAAACATTAATTATTCCTTCTATGAATATGTTCTAATTAATTTATAAATCTTCATTTTTTTCATTCCTTACCTTATTTATCAAAAATAATAAAGATTATTATATAATTAAATATGTTGTAATTAGATTGAAACGAGGCAGGAAGCCAAGAAATGTCTATGAATTCATCAAAACTGAGAATTAATTATAAAAAACTATCATATACCATTAAAGATATTTACAAAACATTGAAAAAAAAAAAAACAGGGGAGATCGATGCCATAGAAGAAGAGAGATACTAGAGCAAAACCCTGTTGAATTCTTACTACTAAAAAGAAGCCCTAAGCCACCATGATCGTCGATATTACTTCAAGAATTCCATTCTACGCAGAGATGGGTCTGCCAGCTAATCCCAAAGGAGAGCGAGAAAGCTGATGTGATGATCTGGTGGTGATCTCTTTAAGAACAGGCCTCATCTCAGGCTGCCCAGCTGGTAACCAATCCAAGATTTTGTAACAAGATTCTTGCTTTATCTTCTTCACTTGATTATGAACTGCAAATCCCACTTGTTCCTCCTCAATCCCACCTTCCTTCTTGTTGTTGTTTCCTCTTCTCTGCTCCATCTTTTTCCCTACAAAGTTGAAGACTAAAAAACAAAAAAAATCTAACCTTTTCTCTTTATGTTTCTATGTTTTTGAAGGGAAGGGAGCAAGCGTGTGCTATATATATTTGTAAAAAACCAAAGGGAGAGATAAAAACGAATTGAGTTTGAGACGTAAGGGATGAAGGGAGGGCAATATAAAGCATGGAGAAGTTTGGTGGGAAAGATCTATCTATAACTGGATTATTTTTAGACGACTGATTTGGACCAAGTTGAAAAAAGAAAAAGAAATTTCCAAACTCACACCCTGTTTTGACGTTTGTTTGGTACGTTATTTATTTTTCATTCGTTTGGTATATTTTTGAGCAAGTGGAGTATGATGCCCCCCTACTACTAGCGATGTGATCATAGAATTACTATAGGATTCAATGTATATCGAAAGATATATAGAGTATGAATTGATGTGAGGCTATGAATATTACCGTTCAATTTGTTGGAGATAGTTATCTAATGATTATGAGGAAGATTTTTATCCCTTCATGTAATGATTATTATTATTTAGTTTTTAAGCAAGTTGTTGCTTTTTAATAAAATTTTAAAACGAATTCCATAAAAGCATTGATATAATCCTTTTTTTAATTGCCTGTGGAGGCTGTTTTTTATATAGAAAAATCACCACAAAGGAAAAGGAAAAAGATATTTTAGATATTGTTTTCAAAATTTAGTTAATATCTTTCATGGGTGTAAATAAATAGAAAATCTCCGACTTCCATGTGAATTGAAATTTGTAAATTTTAGATTACATAGTAAATACAATCAATTTTGTAAATCTTTTTCAAACCTGTTTGATATTGTTATATATGTCATGTTATGATGTATGGGTTTGATATTGTTATGTTGTATTCTAATGTATTGCTCGTTGTAAAATGGTGAAAATATTATTAATAAAAGTATTACATTTTTTTATATATATAAATAATGGAAAGTAAGGATATCCTTCTTTATTTTAAAATTAAAACACTTTCTTTTTAAAGTGTCATGTGTTAAGATGTGGAGAATCAGATTTATTAGCAAAATATTCAAATTAAATGGTATTCCTAAAAGTGGTGATTCGCACCATTATGATTTAGATTCATGATATCTATTTCAATTTTCACTAAGTGATACGCATTTTTTTCTCCACGAACCAATTGCAAAAAGTATGTGATGGATAATACTCAATTAAGTTTTGGGATTAATTAAATATATATATTTTTTGCAGTAATAAAAACGTTTTTCGATCAAGTTTCACACATCTTAAGATTAATCTCTTTCTTAACACAGTTAAAAGTCACCTTCTAACATATAGTTTTGACTATTTTAAAGACATTAAAAACAAAAATTAAATTATGAACGTAATTTATAAATAACACTTATCTATATAAAAGATATCACTTTGTGATTGGAATTAATTAAATATTAAGGTGCGAATATTTTAGCATCAAAACCTTTAAAAGAATTGTTCAGCTCAGTTGACAAGAGATTACCAAAGATTCTGGCATTTGACTATGTCCACTTCTATGTTTTCAGATAACTATGGCATACCCGACACATTGTTTCAACCAAATAGTAATGGTAATCCAAATTCTGGAACAATAAATTGAATTACGTCTTTACCCCCGTTAAGTGTTGTTTATTTACGACTATGTCTTAAAATATTTATATTAGTAACTCAAACGAAGAGTTTTGAATCATCCAATAATTTTTCTAATTTCTCCTCTATTTCTTAAGCAATTTCTTGTATAATAAAAATTTCTCAAGAATTTGTAATCCTTGATCAATTTTTTGAAGACTGATTTTTCAAGAATTGGAGATAAGGTCATAAATGAACAACTAAAGAAGTCAAAGTCTGTTTGATCCTTCTATTACAATACAAAAGATCATCAACGTTCAAAAGCAGCCTCAAACAAGTAAGGGGAGGCGGAGTCAAATTTACTTGGCAGAGTAGTATGATGGCAGTTCCGTTATTTCAAACAACTTCAGGTGCCTTTATTGTGATCTTAACTAGAATGACGAGACTCTTGACGTGCCGTTGACGATGTTAGGTACTTGGGCGGTTAGAGTTTGTTAATAGGGGGACGGCAGTCGTTAGTAGTTGCCGTGAAGTTGAAACAACCAGCCACGTGGAATGGTTTGCTATTTCTAAACGCAATCACCACCACTCTTGTGGTTATGATCAAATTCATTTTTTTGATGTCTCGTTTTGGCCTGGGACTCTTTTAACTTCCTGAGCCTAAAAATATTATCCAACACTGACGTATCTGTGCTGACAAGTGGCAATTGCTGGTTAAATCTTAATGAGGGATATTTTCTAATATATGTTTTTTATTAAGATATTTTATATAAAACATATTTAACTAAGATATATTAACAAATATTGACATTGAAAAAATATGTTTGTAATTTTTTTTAAAGTAATGGAAATAACAAATTTGATAGTAGATTTAGCAATACTCCATTTTTAAAAACAAGAGTTACGCCTCTTATATGTATTTATATAATATGTCAATTTTTTAATTTATCTTTTAAAAAAAGCTTTTAATTTATTTTTATATTTTCAATTGGTTTCTAATCTATCGTTTTAGTTAAAAATTTTGATTAAATTAAGCTAAATTAAGCATATGATTTGCACATAATATGTGATTTGATAAAATTATCTTTGTTATTTGACATAAGTGATCTATATTTATAAATATGTAAATTAATTAATGAAAATTGATCAAAAATTTAGACCAAAAGTACATATTAGAAATAAACTCAAAATATAAGAACACATTGGTAGTTTTTTTTAGACAAACTGAAAAATCGGCTTATCATTTAAGAAAAAACGAGGGTAATAACCTTAAAAACAATACAAAATATGATCTCAATGTTCTTATAATGAATGTTTTTTCTAAATAAGTATATATTTTGTTATATTCTAACTATTATTTTTAATACTGACTATTTCATCTTGAAAAACATTGAACAGATATGAATAAATGCGTTGTAAATGCAGTTTTTAATAATACATTAATAACGTATCTTGTCTTAAAATTGAAGAAACGGATGTGTGTGTGTGTGTATTTTTTCCATAACAGTTTCCATCAATACCCCCATCCTCTATCGTGTTCAAGGAACCAAGAAAAGGAACAGAGACGGAACAAATGGATGAGTATTCAATAAGTTGATTGTTATTATTTATATAATTTAATCATAACAATTACAATAACCAAGCTGGAATAGCTCAGTTGGCTAGAGCGTGTGGCTGTTAACCACAAGGTCGGAGGTTCAAGCCCTCCTTCTAGCGGTTTTCATTTTTTAGGACCATGAGAAAATCGATAAAGGTTAAGAGAAGAAAATTACAAAAGAAGGATTGTCTTGGGGGGACAATTTGAATAATCTCATTAACTTGAACGTTACTCTAATCCATTGGGTTAATTCTTATGGGACTTTATTTTCATCAAAATTATAGGCAAGTTAGATGGATTAATTGACTCAAATTAATTTTAGAACGGTCCTATTCTCCTTCTTCCTTTGGGTAAAAGTAGAAACATACACAATTCTAAGACACATTCTAGTTCAATGCAAAGCTTTGGCTCATGACGTGATCCCTCCTTCCATTCTTCAACGTTTGACTACTAGTTGATCAATCTTGTTAAGATGCAAATTCTTCATATATAAGCTAACACGATTAACCTTTCAAGAAAATCAACAATAGAGAATTCAAGACCTAGCAAACCAAGCAATCAATCAAAAGATATCAATAAATTTTTTTAAAAAATATTTTATTGACAGAAGAGATGAAAGTAGTCCGTCTATGTACCGCATGATTCTATGTATGGTAAAAGAAAAAAAATAATGAAACAGAAAGACTTCAATTTGATGTAAAGAAATAAAATCAAGATGTGTAATTAGGTGGCCAACTATGAATACTATGGTTAACAAAAAAGGTTGATCTATTCATGATGAACAGTCATACTTTATAGAGATGGGATAGATTTTCCTATCAAAATAATATAATAAAACTCCCACAAATCATATCGACATTATGCAAATAATTAAATTAATTATCAAATTGACCTAACTTAGTCTGCCCTTAACAAACTTGAATTGGAAGCTCAACTAACTTAAAAGAGGCTGTTGGGTACCATCGAAAGTGATTACCTGGTTTTGATTCTTGAAAATGATGCAAAGTTAGATTTTTCCTCTTTTTTTTTTTTTTTTTTTTTTGAAAAGCAACTGTTAGTGTTTTTTTGTGTTGTTTATTTTTTTGGGTTTCTATTCTACATCAACGAGTTCCAAAATTTGGAGTGATAATTCTAAAGGGGAGGCAGGAAAATGGAAATATGGGAAGAAGGCATAAAAATTGTGGGGCAATGTAAATAAGACAAAAACTTGGTAAGACAAGAAGTGCGTAGATCATACAAGCTTCCTCTCAACAGGGAGTTCTGATGGACATGGCAACGGTGTTGAATGATTTAGGTAATTCACGGAGTATTTGGGACAAATGAAGGGCGAAATTCATTTTATTTATAAATGAAATAAATGAGAATGTATATTTACAAAGGAATTCTCTTATTTGAAACAAAAAAAATTATTCGTTAAATCATTCATTTGTAAATACATTTTATATTTGAAACATATGTAGAATTAGAATTGAAGTTTGTATTTTACTTAAATATCTCTAGTTGATTGAAAGGTAATTATGATATAATATAAAAATAAATAATATTTTCATAAATAATACAAGTGAGCAGAGGAGCCGAGAGGAGGATGAGGAGTTGGACAGCAGCAAGGGAGGTGCAGTAGAGAGAAGAAATACGTGCGAAAGAGATAGTTCATAAATTAAAAACGAATGAGCAAAAGGTTAGGATAGGTTAGGATAGAGGGCATATTTATCCAAATAAAAATATTTCTCAATTGGCATAGAATTCATTTGCAAATAACTCCTCTTGGGCAAGGAATTGGACAAAGCTATATGAATTCATTGATTTGAAATTCATTCATTTGCAATTTTTAAAATTGAAGCTTCCAAGCAAGATATCATTAATTTGCAAATGAATTCCATAAAATTTTATAGAATTCATTTGTTCCAAACACTATATTAGATTAAGAAGGAATGTTTTGCTTAAGAAGAAACTTTCCTAGGTCTGTCAGATGGAACTAAACACTGCCCGGATAATGGAAATATACAACCTGATCGTTTATTATTTTGTCTTCTGCTCGGCAGCTCAAATATGGGCTGATGGAGGACTGGTAAGCAGGAATGGTAAAGGTGGATGAGTATCGCTCCTTCTAGAGTTGTTTCTTGTGGATGAGCTTGCTTGCAGAAACAAATATGAGATAGTTCTTGTGCAGGCAAGTCTCTGGAACTCGCAGCAGAAAATGAGTTTTCTATGGATACTATATTTTTCATTGCATCCAACTCTAGTGCAAATCAGCAGAGAAAGAAAGTACTTCGTTCTGGCTTTTGCTAAACATGGATTTCACAGAAGCTTCGACCTTATAGGCTGGCTTCAGTTCCTGAATTTTTGTTGGTATACTGTGAAAAACGTTGCTTAGTGTATTGGAGCATATCAAGTCGCTCTGCTGCCAGGCTATTTGACTCCTACTAGAGAATGCTTTTGCTCCTTTCTTCAAGGAGATCTGCAGGATTTAAGTTGGATGTCTCTATTTCCGCTTTGTGGCTCCTCTACAAATTAGGACTTGAGATTAAGTGATTCGAGTACAGCATAACAATTCAACTGCTGCTACTACAGATAAGCTCAATTACTGCAAGTTGTTGCAGTCTCTAACACTGCAGACAGACTCAAGCAGATTGCTGTTGAACAGGGATTGCGGGCGTAGATCGACTGTGGGATTGTGAAACTTTTTCTTGTGTATCCAGAATAAAGATGTTAAAAGTGGCAGACCTCGTTTTCCTGGATTCAGAGGGATTGCCATCTCTATAAAAAGCAATGATTTTTTTTTAATGAAAGATTTCCTTCGTTCTAAAATCAAATAGCGCAGGAGCTCCAGCTGCCACACTAGCTTTACAAGGAGAAAGAACTGAAATTTACAGGAAACCAAAGAACTAGCCAGTAAGCACAAAGTTGCATGCATAAAGAAAACTGAAAACCTTGGACCTAAATAAGCTTCCTGTGACAACTTTGTTCAGTTCAATCTCAATTGAACAGACTGAATGATATTTCTGACAATATGCTTCTCATCCAACAATATACTGCCGTCTTCTTTCCTAACGAAATAGATATATGAGCACCAGCCTCTTCTAAGTAAAGCAGGCTGGAAATATTCTTCCACAGAAACTGAATAGTAGCCCATCTGAGTTCAATATTCCAGTCACCAGCTAGCCTATTCAGATTGCACAGCCGCAAAATCTTCTGCCAGATATTGTTTGCAGTAGAACAAGGAAAGAAAAATGTTCTCTGTCCTCAACTCATCTTCAGCACACTTGCACATAACACAGATAGGATAATACCTGTCCCCATTCCAATTTGTCTGCCGTTAGCAATTATTCTGTTCAAAATGGCCAATCGACTGATAACACTGTGTCTAGAAATATGTGAAGGACCCTGCAACAGTTTATACCGACCAACTCTGTTCTTCTTTATTCAAACAAATTGCCAAGCACTTCTTGCCGAAAATTGTCCGTCAGGACCAAGATTCCAGGAAACAATATCCACTGTCCAAGGCTGAGGATGAATTAAACACATATAGCATTTCTAGATTCAGCTGCTGGCCAGCTCCAATTCTCACCTTGACCCACAGCTGATAGCTTAATATTAGGGGTTAAACATTTTCTCCATTGCCCAGTGAGGGCATTGTTTGATCCCAAATCAGACTTCTGAATTTAACATGCTTTCTCCAACCCCATGAGCAGTCATTAGGAGCTGATAGGCGCCAAAAGCTTCTACCTTGTAAGAGATGAGCATAACTCCAAGCCACACAACACAATCCTGCCTGCAAGATTATGTTACAAATATTCCTCATGAAGCATGCAATATTCCCCTCTTCATTTTTCTGATACCAAGACCCCTCTCCTTTTTAGTAAAAGTAATAACAACTTTTTCCCCTTTAGCGTGTCATCTCTTCAGTTCTACAAAAATGCATTGAACTTTTGCGCAATGGATATGACAACAAAAGCAGGAAGAATGAACATCAAGGGCCAGTAGTTTTGAATACTGAAAATGACAGGTAACAAGTTGCAATCTTCCTGGCAACAGATACTAATTTAAAAGCCCACTGCTGCAATCTGCAAGTGATCTTATCAATGAGGGCTTTAGAATCATCATGGCTCAGTTTACCAGAGAAGAGGGTCTCCATAATACTTGACAGGTAGCCTTCCTGTCTTAAAACCAGAAGTAGTGTGCATCATAAAGATCAGAAATGTTACGTTTGGGCCTGACACAGAATAAAGTTGTGGCATGATGGAATTAACAGAGCTTCAATTGGACCTCCTGTGAATACCATGAGGTCATCAGCAGAGCAAAGATGTGTAACACAGATTTTCTTACACATTGGGTGGTAGAGAAAACACCATTGTGTTCGTATAAGGCAAAAGTTCACCACCAGAAGCCCGCATCCTCCCAACAAAATTCAGGAGCTAAAGCAAGGCTACAGGTTTTTCACTTATGTGAACTCCTATTTAGCAAGAGCATCAGCAGTGCAATTTACTGAATCAAGTACTCAGTTGAACAGACTTAAGCTGCATGACAATATGTAATACTTCACAGCAAGCTTAGAGAGGCTCATCGGACTTCAGACTGGGATGCCTGCCCACAACGCTATTACCAGGTTTAGGTTTCTGAACCCCCTCTTCTGCATTGAATTTCTAACCCTCATAACTTCGTTCCATTGCCCTGCACTTGCATACGCATTTGCTAGAAGAACGTAGTCACTGCTGTGATCTGGTTCCAATTCCAAAAGCTGTTTCCTAATCTGCTCTCCGAGTTCAACATTTCCATGCAACCTACAAGCAGCCAACAATGTTCTCCACACAATGGCATTGCACTGCATTGGCATACTACTTATTAATCGATAAGACTCCTCAACAAACCCAGCTCGACCCAGAATATCCACCATGCACCCATAGTGCTTTATTGTTGGTTGGATATGATACTCTTTGTTCATTACATCAAAAAATCTCCTTCCTTCATCAACCATCCCTCCATGGCTGCAAGCATGCAAAACCACCAAGAAAGTAATACCATCCGGTGCCCAGAGCTTTTGTTCTAACATCTTGCAAAAGAGAACCAATGCCTCATTTACGCAGCCATGACTTGCTAGTCCCAAAATCATCGTATTCCACGTTACTGTAGTCTTATTTTTCATCCCGTTGAATGTCTCATATGCTTCTTCAAGTGCTCCACACTTCGCATACATATCAATGAGTGAATTGCTAACCTCTATAATACTCCCGTAACCGGTATTACCAATACATGAATGAACCCATCTCCCAAAATCTAATGCACCCAATGAAGAACATGCGGAAAGGGTCACAACGAATGTGACCTCATCAGGGTCTATACCGAATTTCAACATCCTGGAAAACATATCAAGTGCTTCTTTGAACTTACCACAAGAGACATGACAATCAATCATAATATTCCATGACACTAATTCTGGGCTGGGAATTTCTTCAAACAGTTGGCGGGATCTTTCAATATCCTTAAACACGCCATACATATGAACAAGAGTGTTCCTAACAAAGACATGTGAATCAAGCCCGTGTTTTAATGCACTACAATGCATTTGTCTCCCCAACAAAACCGATCCTAACTGCCCACAAACCTTAAGCAAGAACGAGAAAGTGAAATTGTCTGCTACCAAACCTCTCTCTTGCATTCTCTTATAGAAATCAAACGCTCTTCGAGGGTCAGTAGCTTTGCCAAAACCCCTAATCATTGTATTCCATATAAAAGCATCTGGGTTTTCAACCTTTTGGAAAACCGAAACAGCATAGTTCACGTCTCCATGCTCTGCAACAGCACAGAACACAATGACCTTGCCTACAACAAAGACGTTCTGCTCAAAGCCAAGTTGGATCACACGGGCATGAATTTGCTTCAAATCTTTCATGCAGAAGCATTTCTTCAAAAGGTATATAACAGTTTCTTCCTTTGATATAGAAATACCGTTTAGGCTCGAAGTATTTATGGTTGAAATATGTGAACGAAAGGAACCCAATTGCAGAAATGATATGGATTTTAAGTTCGATTTTAAGCGGGAAAGGTAGTCAATGATCATGATAACTACTAAATTGAAATAGTTGCAAAAGAAGACATGATGATGACGATGAACCAGAATTAGCTTGCAGTTTTTTTTTTTTTTTTTTTCCAAATGCAAATGATTCAGGCAATGGGCTGATAGAAAAAAGAATGGCATGCACCAAATTGCAACCCACTAATCTGAAGTCCAAACTGCCCAAGGCCCATTAGTATGATTTTAAAAGTCCATCAAACGTTCCCACACACATAATCGTAATTACCCATAACAAAAAGCCCAAAACTTGGGTTCTAATATAGGTGGGGTATGGATTCTTTCGGATAAAAAAAATAAAAAATGGTATATTATAAACGTAATGTTTTCTATCTAAGAGTGTAAGATAATCTACCTCTATATACATATTTTTTTATTAAAAAAAATTACATTTGAAAAAAAAATAATGCCTTTTTTTATATGCCTTTTGCATCAAATTGATTTCTTTTTTATTCATTATTATTATTATTATTTTTTTGCAAAAGCATCTATTTATGTATTGTGAAACACACATAAATATATTGTTATATAACTTAAAGTGTCTTTTTGTTACCAAAAATAAAATATTCAGAATAGAAACGTAAGAATTAGAATGAAGATTAACAAATTAGAATGATATTTTTATTCTAATATTGTGTTTGAAATAATAAAAAAAATCATAATGAAAATTAAAAATTTTAATATCTAGTTTTTAATACTAATAAGAATTGTTACACAATAATCTCCGGGCAATTGTAACCAATATAGATCAAATATAGAATTGCCGAGATAAATTTGTTTAATGATAAAAGTTAAAAAAAAAATAACAAATTAGCCTTAAGAGTTCTAATTAAAGAAGTTGATTACATAATTTAAAAAGATCATAGTCATTTTAGTGTGTTCTTACTACTCAATTCTAACATATGAAAACTTTTTGAGGCAAAGTACAATTAAATATCTATTTTTCTATCTGGATTTGTGAGTTTAACTATCACATCTTTTCTAATCGGTATTAAATGATGTGATGTGTAGACTGAAAAATGACTTAATCTCTTTTACCTAAGACGTCATTGGATAGTTAAAGCCTACTTTAAAAAGTGAAAGTTGAGGGTTTGAAGCTCATTTGCAAATTAAGCAACTCAAACCCAAAATAATAATAATAATAATAAAACAAATGACACAAATTTGGACCTTATCCAATACCAAATTTAGAGTAGAATCTATTAAAAAAAAATTAATAACAATAAAATAAAATAAAAATAAGAAAAGCATTGTCATTGGACTCAAATTGATCTTAGATCCTAAGTCCATTCGTTTAGATTAATTTAAAGTGACATCACATCAAATAAACATGTCAAATATAAAATATAAGCAAATAAAAAATACAAGGATTACAGATCTTGTGAAGATGAACCTCAAAAAAAAAAAAAAGTCAATTGACCTTCCTTAAATTCTTGATCTATTGATTTGTACTGATTTATCTTAATTTGATCACCATAAAAAAAAAAATGTTAGCCAATGCCTATCTTTATTATGGAGCAAAAGATCATCGGAGTGTTTTCGAAAGAAGGACCAAGGGGCGAGCGACGAGGAGCGGCATTTTTTCTTCTTCTTATCTCCGTCAAAATTGTTCGTTCATCCAGAGCTGGATTTATCTCTTTGTTTTTGTCGGTGCTTTTCCTACTTTTTTTTTTTTTTTGAGAATGTATGCCAATACGTGAGTAGGGCATTTAATAATGGCGGGGAGCAAGCCTGGACATCTAGGCCGGGTGTGTCTGGGCTGTTCTAAGTCTACTTTTTTTTTCTTTTTGTTTTTTAACAAGGTAAAATTGAAGTGACGATAAAAATAATGTTTAAAATAATAATTTTATTAATTATTCGATGATAATAAAAATAATATAAATGAGTGTGATGGTAACGATAATGATTAAAGAAGAAAAAATGATTTCAAAATAGTAATAATTTATTTTTAAAAAAATTGATGTCACCATCATAGAAGGTGATAAACTAACAATGAAAAAAGATTAGAGATGGTAGTGGTATAATAAAAGGGACAGGAAAGAAAAAAAGGAACAGCTAGGCTTGGTGTGTTTGGTCAATTCTAAGTCTATGCTCTTTTTTTTTTTTTTTTATGAGGCAAAAGTAGGATGATGATAAAAATAATAATTTTATCAACTATATGATGGTAGCAAAAATAATATAAGTGAGCGCGGTGATGGTGGTAGTGATAAAGGAGTAAGAGATGGTATCAAAATAGAAATAATATATTTAAAAAAAAAATTGATGTCATCGTTATAGAAGGCGGTAAACTGGTGATGGAAAAGGATTATAAATGTTGGTAGTATAATAAAAATGATGGAGTAGAAGAAAATGAAAATGGTGGCAAAAATTAATAATGATAATAAAATTTCAAATTGTTTTTTTATCACCACCATCAATAGAGGTGGTGGTAGTGATAGAAGTGGTTGATACACAATTAATGAAAATAATATATCATTATTTTGAAAAGAGAAAAATCTCATTTTTATTTCTTATTTTTAGTCCCACATCTCAATGCGAATGAAACTATATTTATTTATTTATTTTAATCAAACACTTACAAAGTGATAATAAGACTGTCATTTAGATGTGAGTAGTCTTCGATTAAAACTAATTAATCGAATCGAAACCAAAATACCAATTTGGTTATTCAATTTCACTTTGGTTTTAAAATTATAAGTTTGGTTTTTGGTATAATTTATTTTTAAGAGCACGTTTGAATTTTTTATTGTTATTTGAACTTTAGTTGTTTGGTTTACAATATTTTTAAACAATTAATAGTTTTTTAACATTACATATTTTAGATGTAGATTAGTGGATTTGTATTTAATTTTTTATGCTTTATTATATTATATGCTTTTTTATTATCTTTTATATAAGCTACCTTCGACTATTTATGAATCATTTGGAATAGAGAAATGATTCCAGTGTGTGTATATATATATATATATATATTTGCCTATTTATATTATTTTTTTAAAAATAAAAATTTGGTTTTTACCGAAAATCAAAAACTAAAAATCAAAAAATCAAATAGAAATTCAGTCCCGTTTTGGTTTTTTTTTTTTTTTTTAAATGAGTTTAATTAAATAAAAATTGAATAAAAATGTAAAAATCGAAATTGAAAAACCGAACGCTTACCTCTACTTCTATTCTCCTTTTCACCATTTTATTTTTTGTTACCAAAAATACCACTAGTTGTTGTGCCATAATAGTGCTAGCTTTGTGAAACTATAAAGGCTTGCCTAACTGAAATTTAAATGATAAAATATGGTTTTGCTGTGGAACCGGGCAGACAATCAAGGCCCGTGGACTCATTTTGTATCTGTCTATGAGTGTTGTGGCCAAATTTTTCTCCCTCGCTCACTCCCTCTCTCACAAGAGAGTTTTAACCTTTAGGTCCTTTTGTGGGCCGGGCTCCATTGTTTTGGGCTGAGTTTTGTTTGTATTTTCTTTGATGCATCTGGATAAGTAAGGGAATCCTTGCTGGTCTATCTGCTGTATACCGTGAGCGCAGAGAGATAAATAAAATAATAATAATAATAATAAATAATAAATAATAAATAAAATTATATTCAAATCTATTAAAAAAGATAAAGAAAAATTTCATTTTTTTTTAATTTTTTAATTTTCTTTTTTCTGTTTTTTTATTATTTTTTTTGTGTCTTTCTCTTTTCGAAATGGATTCATAGAATAACTATTATATATATATTATTAATTATTCCTTTAATAAATGAATTTATTTCCCATTTGATCCAAAATTTTTAATTAAATTGGGCCGCAGAGAACGACAGTGTTTGAATGTTTTCCCCAGCAGAATAGCTGTTCGAACTCAAAATCCGGTTATAAAGATGACAATGGAAGGGATTAGAAATGGAATTTTTTTTTCATTCATTTCTAACATAAAAAGAGGAAATCCATCACTCATCTTCACTCCCCATTCGGTCATGCTGAGTCAGACGGAGTATTTCTTTCATCCGATGGATATCCATCAAGTATCAACCCATTCTGTTTCTTTTTTTATATATATATATATCTTTATATAAATACAATAATTTATATCTGATAAAAAAAAACTGGTAGCTTAGAATACTCGATTTATAACGTCAAATACCTGTTTGATTTGATAAAATTACAAATTTTATAATAATTAAAAAGTAATTTACATCCGTACACATAGTAAAAATGATAAAAAAATTTATACGCTGATTCAATTGTTTTTTTAATTTTTCTTTTTAGTTTCTTTTTTTATATTTATTTTTTTTATAAAATAATTACTATATATATCATATCTATTAATTAGTTTTTCAGTATTATAAAATTTCATTTTTTTGTTTTTTATATCTTTAGAAATAAAAAAATATTGATGTAAATTAAACTACAGCTTACTGGATAAAAAACTGGTAGTAGAATAGGTCCATGAATGCCGATTAAAAGCGGTACGTAAATAATAAATTGATTGGTCGTCTACTGCAGTCCGCAGAAGGCATCAAACAAAACGACAGGAAGCCGAGCAGGACACGATGACGAAAGAACATTATTTGATGCCCAATGGTAATGCTAGAAGTCAGTCAACTTGTCGGGTAGCAGATGCTGAGAAGGACTTGTAATAGATAGACAAAGACTCATAGGCACCCCAAGTACTGCAAAAAGATTATCATTTTTATAAACACAACACTTCTTTTTTCTCTTAAAGCATATCGCTATACATCACCCCAAGAAAAAGTAAATTACCCCCCCCCTCTCTCTCTCTCTCTCTCTATTTCCACAACTTGTTTCATGGCTATCCTTAACGTCTAGCACAACCTATGTCATAGCTAGTTGGTTGCGTGGGTTAGATTATCACTTCACTAATTTCCAATCCCACTCCATATTTTTTTAGAAAAATAAGATGAACTATTTCCATTATTAATTTCTGACATGCTCTTGTTAAAGTTTTGCATGGATTAGGCAAAATTTCCACGTACGCTAGCTTTTGGAATTTGCGCATCGATAGTGCTTTCTTCTTTTGGAAGTACTTTTTTGGGTGACTTTTTGTAACCGGGGACCAAATTTATAATGTCATGTCTTTCGTCTTTCCTCTTAGCATGTGTATTGTCTTTTGATTCTCCTCTAATTTAGTTTAGAGAAAGGGAATCTGAGAATCTTAAACAGAATTATGCCACCTGTAAGGAAAAAAATCTCCATGCGTGGCTCGAACGCAGGTATGAATGCAAATTAAGAATCGGATGCTGAAAAACAAAATAGCAAGAAAGTAAACGACACAAAGTAGTTCTGCTAAACGTATGTATACATATGAAAAAAACAATCAGAAAATTCATTATTCTCCGAAGACTTAAAATTTCGGATCACCAAGTGTTGATTGAGTAATAAACGAATTTATTTTTAAGTGAATTTTCTATTAATATATAAGGTTTGAATCTTATTAATCCGAAGATTAAAAATTTTCAGAATACCAAGTTATTAATTAAATGATAAATCAATTGATTTTTAATACACTCCTTCAAGTAAAAAACCTAACATTTGAGCTTCAAACCTAACATTTGAGCTTCAAACTTACACACGTTTACTTAACTTTGTGCTTAATATTTGAGAAATTGAGAATGATAAGACTTAAACTCAAAACTATATGATCAATAAAACTACGATATCGTATTAAAAGACTATCTCATCAAAAAGTAATAAGAAAGTAAACGATACATATTAATTTTGTTAAACGTATGTGTATAGATGAAGAAATGATGAGAAAATTCATTATTGCTCCAAAGACTCAAAATTTCGGACCAACAAGTGTTGATTCGAGTAATAAACGAATTGATTTTTAAGTGAATTTTCTATTAATATATAAGGTTTCAATCTTATTGATTGGAAGATTAAAAATTTCAGAATACCAAGTTGTTAGTTAAGTGATAAATCAACTGATTTTTAAACGATTTTCTATTAATATACAAGATTTGAATTCTAAAATCAAATTTGTCATAAAGAGTTAAAGTTTATCTTTTTTATCTTAAATATGATTAATTTTATCTTCAATATAAGATAAGAATATTTGGATAAATAATAACAATAATAACCATCCCGGATAAACTTTCAACCTTAATCCTCCAACACTCAACCTCACAACTCTCATTTGTTATAATCTTATATAAAATTGAGATTACTATTAATTGGAAGCAGGTATAGATTTTAATTAGGAAAACTTGTAATCATGATCCTCCAAATAAAAGTCCAATGTACTCACAATTAGCAATATTTCCCATGTACTCACAATTAGCAATAGTGAAAGGCATATATACTCAACACGAATCGTGCACTGTTAAGAATCATATCATGTTTCCAAAGTGGGGTTCTATTCTATCATATCGCTTTGCTTAAAGAATAGGGTATCATGTCCAAAGTGGCCATTTGAGCAACTTTACTGGAGAAGTTCAGAAAAGCTTGCTTTCTTAATCATTATCAGAAATTATTGAGTCCATCCTGATCTGTACACTCATCCATGTCACGAAGGATTCCTGTGTTTCACCTACCTTTACGTAAAAGATAGAGGAGTGTAACTCAGCTCCCGGTGAATAATTTCTCAATTTTCAGCCACTGATTTCCTTGATTCCAGTTTGCCATAAAAGTCGTCTCTCTGTCTGTGGGCTATCAGTGAAGAAAGAGAATCATATAACCTGAAATGAAAACGTATATTGTGCATGCAATGTCAATTATTTCCGCTGCTTATTTAATCATTGAGAAAATGACCCCAGAAAGAAAGGAAGGAAAAATCAAGTTAATTTGGATTTGTTTAGTTGATTATTTACAAGAAAATTCGTCATCTACCATCAGGACATAACAGAGCATTCATTTACCAAACTGTATAGGCAAGTGATGTTAAAAATTTTCGCTTCAATATTGTAATCTACTTAACTTTTTTTGTTATTATTAGCCAAACGTTTGCTATTTGCATTAAGTAATAGTTGTGGTCACCATCAAATTAACTAATCAAAGACAACAAATTGGCACTTTAGTCTAAAAAATGTTTCTGTGATGATGTGTGGGTAGGAGGAAATGTAATTAGTACGTTGTTCTATATATATTTACCCAAAAAAAATCTATGTTAATATAATTAAAATGCTGACAAAAGATACCGCTATTAAAAAAAGCTGACAAAAGAGTATCAGTTAGCCATTGCTTTGACTAATGTAGAAACGAACAGAAACGAATACCTCACAAATATTGGAGATATCAGCAAACAGACGAATATGAAGCTGTTAGGGAGCCTGATGATCAACGCATAAATTTGGTGGATAATTAAAATATTGTCAAGCATATATAGCACCTTTATATATATATATATATAAAGGTCGGTCGATGAAGGAACAGGTTCTATAATTCTTCTTTTTAATTTATTTCAAAGTAGAAGGTATTTTTGGATTAGTTTGTATGTCGATCGAGATTCAGTTTTCTTTATATTGATCTATGATTACCGCAATAAGTTTTCATTTGGGATTTTTATTTATTTTTTATTTTTCACTTCTGATAAATTGGTAATATTAGAAGGGATTAGAAAAGGTCTGAAGAACTTTCGAAAGAAAAAAATTGTAACTGTCAAAATATTTTCTTATCATGTCCTCCAGGTGTTTATTTTATTTTATATTTTTTTTGGATAAATCAGGAGCATGTGGAACACAGGAAAACAAAAGGCAAACCTGAGAAAATACCAAAACATGACATCTGCAGAAATTGGAATTAATGGAACTGAAAAATTTGCTGAATGGAGATGTGAAGCAGCAGGAAAATGGCAAGTTATTAGATGAGATTTCATAAAATAACTTATCATTGAACTTAAAACTTGTTTTATATTATTCTATAAAAATATTTTTTAAATAAAAATTTTTAAAATTTTAAAATCATAATTATTTTATTTTTAATTATTTAATTTTAATTAATAGGAACCGATTTGGTGATCAAAATCATGATATAATGCCAAATAAGCATATCAATCCAAAAAATTAATCAGAAGGCTCAAAAATAAAAAAAGGAAATTGGGCAAACTTTGACACAAAAACTACGATGGCAGATAAGGACAGCCCACTTGCTGAGTAGCCATCTAGTCACAGATAAAGCTACTTCTTCAAGTAGGGTAGCAGGAAATTTTTCCATGTTATCATAATATTGACTATTGA